CCCAAAAACGACTCAAAACCTCACTAACTACAACCCCCATCATCGACGCGCCCACCAACAACCACCATGCACATGCACACTCACAAACATCACGCACCCTCACTTAACTCTACGTAACACACGTCAATACCAAAATCTAAGAAGAAAAAAATCCTTTTTCATAATAGTAAATTCTTATATTCTCTTCCACTTTCAAAAAAGAAAGACATATATATACCCATCCACTCATACTCCCCCTCTTAAACCTCTTAACTCTCTCAACCCTCCACACGAACTTCCTTCAGGAATCCACAAGTTCCCGACCACCACATCTCTCATTCCATAGCCCCCTCTCAAGACCCGCATCCCTTCTCTTATTTTCCCCAGGGACGACAGACACACACACACACAAACTTAGATACTCATTACATTGATACAAAATCAGTCGGCCATGGATTCAGCCAAAAAAAGAAGCCACGGGATTTCGAATAATAGAGAAAAAAACAAACAAAAAGAAAAAAATTGGTGACCTCCCAAGAAGGTGAAGTAATAGTACTAGTTAGTAGTAGTAATAGAAAAGGAAAAAGAAACAGAAAGAAAAAGTTGGTCGACAGAAAATAACAAAAAAACGCCACTTAATGCAGAAAAGATTCAGTCGCTCCCCCTTTCCCCCACTTTCACGCCTTTGATCGGTGTCTCGCGAGGATTGACATGTCCTCGCTCAAAGCTCAAGCTAAGCCCATCGAACTTTCTAACGCCACAGCAATGCTGTTTGTATTCCCTTCCTCCATTCATGATCCCCCTGTGCGTCCCTTATTATTCAGAAAAAAAAAGAGTTCTCAACGCCCGAAACAGAAAAGGAAAAAAAGTTCAAATGCTGGCTCCGTGCCAATTCCAAACTCAGCGGCTGCAAATGTTGTGTGGTATCATATAAGGCGCGTGTCCCCTTTTGTTCGCTCGCTCGCTAGATACAAGTAAAACGCTTTCCCAACATGATCATGGAAGAAATGAGTGACTGTGAGGTCTATGTTTGTAAATGACCAAAAAGGAAGATGAATGCTTTCAGATGCTAGAAGCATGAAACCGTCAAGTACTTCATAAGAAATCGTTGATTGATCGAATGATTGGCACCTCACCCTTAGTCGGAGGACTGCGGGGATCCTCATCGACAGCCAGGGGAATTCGCTGGGGCGGTGAAGTAGTTGGGAAGAATGATGAACGTGGGAATTCCATGGCCCGAGGTGAGAAGAGGGCTGGAGTTGGCGGGACTTCTCCAACAGAAGCTCCTCCAAATCCGAGGCCCAGCAGGGGATTCTGAGTCATCTCAGAAACGCGCGGTGACATAAGGGAATCCCAATCGGTTGCGGGAGTTGATTCCTGGTGGAACCTCGGTTGACTATCCAAAGTAGCACTGGTGAATCCAAAATCAAAATCCGAATATCTAGAGGCAATCGATTCACTAGCAGGTAGCTCGCGAGCCTCCTTGGCATTGGAAATCGCAGAATCTCTGGCCGACGCGCTTGGAGTCGAATTGCCACGGATACGGGACGGGGTAGACGGTGGCTCAGAGATATCTGCCGACAGGGTAGGTCGGTGCTTAACGGTGGGTTTTCGAAGAGTGGTGGACTTGTCGTTCCTCTTTTGGTCAATGATCTTCTTGAAGTCGTTCAACGAAAAAAGGAGAGACATATTGGGATTGACCCATTTCGACTTTTCTTGTGCCATTTTGTATGCTTCGGTTGCCCCTAGATCCGGATTGATATACATGCCATAAGCGATGATAAGAGTTGCAGAACGACTTGCTCCCTGCTGACAATGGACAAGAACCTTCTTGCCCTGCTTTACTCGCGAATCGATTGTTTCACATAGATCCCAAAGTTCGTCCTTCACATCCGTATTGTGGTCCCAGGGGATGTGAATATATTCCGGTTGGCGGGCCTCGTTAGGTGCCTTTGGGGTCGTTGGCGAAGAATCGGTGGAAGGTGGCTGCACTTCAAAAGCCGTTCTAAACGAAAACATGGATGCCCCAGTATCAGGAGCCATATCGAGGGAATCGATGCTGGGCTTTGGGTTACGGGTCAGGTTGGTGTATGTAATAGGTTCCTCCCTAGCCTTCTCTTCTTCAACCTTGAATGGGTTCTTCACTTCCCGAGCGACATTTATCACCATGTCGAACTCCCTGGCTTCATCGGCCTTTGGCTCCATGTAAAGATAGACACTAGGTTCGTACATCAGGATTGGACCTTGGGGGTATGAAGGCGATTTGGCGTCTTCGCCGGAGTTGGGTCGATCGAAACTGTCTCCTCCCACTGTTACACCAGGAAGCCTCGTTGCCATTTGAACTCCCGCTGGAGCCTCTTGATCTCCATCTTCATCGATGGTGAATGTGGTATCGGACCCAATAGTGGAGTCTTTGCGTCTAGATTGTCCAAGTCCTTTTCGCTCTCCTCCTCCTAATGTCATACCTCCAGTTGGGCCAAATCCAGGGGTGATGAGCATTTGTGGGGATGAGACAGAATGTTTCAATCCTCGTCTTTGCAACATCGATGGCAATTTTGGTGACCTGAGAACATCACCTAATAAGTTTGCGTTCGCAGTACTTGTATTGAGACTTAATAAACTTGGCTTCTTTCTTGGTTTCAGCGGCGGAGGTTTGATAAAAGAGGGTGAAGATGGCTCCGAGGCCTGGAAATGCTCTGAAGTGGGATTTAGATTGCCTAAATTAAGAGCAAGACTCTTCGGGTTCTTGAATTTTCTTGGGGAAGGAGATGTCATTGGTCGACCGTTAAGCATAGGGGATGGTATGGGATTGAGTTCAGTCATCTTCAAATTTGAGAAACCGTCGAGTCCGAACGAAGAGCCGGTAAACGACGATAAGGGGACTAGAGTAATTGGCGATTCGGGCGATGAGGAGGGGGATGGATCTGACAAAGAAGATGAGTCGACCGTTGATATAGTAGTAGTAGGGGAAGAGTCTGTGGAATCTGATGTCTGGGTAGATGTGCTCTCACAATGTTGATGACCGTGAATTTGGTTGCTGCTGGACACTATATGATTCGTTGATGTCTGATCGGTCGTTTGTTGGCCCAGTTGTGCTTCCTGTTCTAGCAGTCGCTGTTGTTGGTATGTGTCTGCCGGTTCCTTCGCAGGGCCTGGCGTCTTTGAATTACCCATCAAGGACGGATCCATCTCATATACCGACATGAATGAAGGCATGTGGTTCTCGTATAATCTGGGACCTGATGCTGAAGGCATTTTCGAAAAGTTTTGTCGACAATATTCTCGATTTCTTGAACGCAGAGTAGTGCCTCCGTCTGAAAGCTGCCTCGACTTTCTTGAGTTCGATCCGGCCACCCCTGATATTAATGTACGTTCCGCTTCCGCTTCGCTGGATTGTGTGGTAGCGGTAGTGAATGACCTCTTTAAAACTCGATCGTTAGCACTCTGAATCCCGCATAGCGAGGACATTATTTTAGTGATTAGGACTAGTGAATGTGGTCGCTTGTAAGCTGTCAAGACATGGCCTCTATACGATGGAAGCAGTGAGGTAAGGTTAATCTGCGTGTACCTGACACGGACAACTCGCTCGAAAGATTGGAAGATGGAAGGATTGTGGGGGACACTGAGGGTGGAGCCTCTAGGGCAATCGGCATGAGGGGGAGGAGAGAAAACGGAATGGAATGAGGATATAATTACCAACTATTATGGGGTGTCTCTCGGAAGGGCCGTGTGGATGGTGGACCTGATGGTTTAGCGCCGTGACTGACGAGAGCAACGCGCCTAGTTATTGAAAAGCCAAATCAAGCAGGATGTGAATCAGGGATGTTGACGGCGTAGACGACCACTGGAAATAAGAACACTACGAAGAGACGACCACTGCCACGAAGGATGCACCGCGGAGGAGGTTTACGTGTAGGCCGTTCGACGACTCTACAGGCGTAGAAAAGGATGAGATGGCCGAGGTGAGTGTGGGTATGGGTGTAGGTGTGGGTGTGCCGCTGGTATGGTCGAGGACTCTAGGACGTCCAGCAGCCCGGTCGCTTGGCCTGGTGAAGGGGGAGGAAGGGTCGGAAGCGAAGAGGAGGGGAGAAAGAAGGGAAGGGTTGCGGGTGCGGAAGCGGGTGCGCGCGCAAGTTGATGCGGATCAAGTGGAAATATGGGTTGCGGGTGAATTAAAGGTTTCGAGGTTTCGAGGACGAAGACGTCTCGATGTTGGGTTGGCGAAGGGCTGGGGCTTGTGGCTGGTCAACGAGGCGATCCAAAAATAGCTGCGAACGGGCCACTCCATCCAGGGTTAGCAATTTTGCCGCCCACAAGGAAATCACCGGCGAATCAACGCAGAGGGATCCTTACCACGTTTGGACCGCTGTCACTGGACGACCCTTTCGACGAATCTTATTCAGGGAAACAAAGCGAGCTGCGAGTGTGCTGGCTGCGGAGACCACCCTACGCTGCGGTGCAGGTGCAGCTGTCGGCTCGCTAGCGTTAGAGTCACGGCCGGCGCTCGCAGAGAAGGGCCTGGTACTGGGGAACAAAGGGCCTGGAGAGGACGCTGCAGACGCTGGAAAGAGGAGAACGGCGTCTGGGGGGAGATGTGAGGTGCGAGGGGGGGACGGCGAGCGTATAGGTACGGGCGTGCAGGCGGGCGGGCGTACCGTAAGGAGCGAGGCAGCTCAAGCTTGAGCTTGTGCTTGTGCGACCGACGAAACCGTGGGATCGTGAGGGGAGACGAGAGGATTGCGCTTCGGTTGGCTTGCGATGGGGATATTAGTGGCGCGTTGCGTTGCTTTGCGGTTGCTATGCGGCTCTGCTTGACTCCCGACTCCAGTCCAACTCGTTTGAGGCTCGACGACGAATGAAAAAGCTGACGGGCCGCTCCTTTGGCACCTTATATGGAAGCCAAGAATGGTGCTGCACAAGAGAGCGCTCTCCTCCCTGTGGTGTTAGTGACGCCGGATGCAAAGGGCAATGGGCGCTGGGAAGGGCGCAGGGAGTCGAAGACAAAGGGCAAGAATGGACGCTGGATCGATCCCGCGAGAGGGCGGAGAAGGAGGAAGAGAAGCGAAGTTGCGACGATTGAGCCAGCAGAGTCAACAACGACACTGTTTGTAGAAGAAGACAATGTTGGTATTAGAAGAGCGTGGGCATGGGCATGGTGCGCTGCGCGGAAAGGGAAAAAGTGAGGATGAAGAGGTTGTATAGGTAGGAAGTTGGCAGGTAGAGTAGGTAAACAGAAAGCTTGCACAAGCAGAAGCACCGCACCCACGAAAAGGGTCAAGGTCGGCCTCTTCCCAAGAAGGGTCTTTAGTTTGGCGGTTCTACGGGGACAGTGTCGACATCACCATCGTCATATGAAGCCTTTCCAACACAACCACACCATTAAATCATACAGCATTTATTACGAGTATCAAGCTATCTCTCTACACTTCTTTCCAACTTTCCCTAGAATTTTCCGATTTTGTTAAGCCTTAATAAGTGGTGTTGTATAGATGTGCACGGTCGCTAACCTTCGACTCTTCTCCCCACCCCCTGCACTTTCTATAGATATGAAATTTAATTACTTAACGAGCCTCTTCTTGGCAGAATTAAGTCTTTAACTTTCCGGTGCCTATATTTAGATATTGACCTTTTGGTATATTGAGTGAAGTGGACTTTTTGAACCCCGTGCGTCGTTAACCTCGTAATGCAATCTTGTGAACTTGTATAATATTTCCACGTATCCCACCACGTTATCCCTCATTTATGTCAATAGCATTATTATACCACTTGATGGTTCGTATTCATCTAATACTAGAACCTACGAAGTACTTGGGCATCCCTTGCCTCTCCCTCCTTTCCCGAGAATTCGCTGTCGATTTCGCCGAATGAGCAAGAACATAGCAGATGTAATTGACGCCATCATCTACCAAGGTATATGCAAACCCAGAACGCCACCATATGTCTGTGAACGAGACAATCTGAAAATACCGCATAACCATACACTCAAGAAATGGCCCCACCTCCAGAATAACACAAATCATCGCCCAAAGCAAATAGTCGTAAAGTCATAACCCTCTCGGGCATCATGGCATGTGCCAGCACATATCGACACCCCATCACTTGCTCTTTCCCTTGCCCTTGGCTGGAGACTTTCTCTTGGACTTGTCACAAAGCATCTTGAACTCTAATGTGGGCATTTTGTCGAGTAGGCCTTGCGTCTCATAAGGCTCCTCCAGGTGATCCGTCAATATTTCCTCCACCTCCTGCCAAGAATTAGTCACAATCACCGGTAAAGGGAGCAAGTAGACTTACTTCAGGCCAGACCATTAGGTCGTCTGGGTCGTCCATTATACCGTGGTGTGAGATACAAGTGTAGAATTCCTCGTTCTTCTTGACGCGCACAAATTCGGCTGATTTTCCAACTCCTGATCTTCCTACTGCTGGTGGTCGCTCCATGGTCAAGGTGACTTGCTCCAAAGCTGGAAAGTCTACTAGGACGTGAAGATTACAAAAGGTCTGGTAGTTCCAGAGCTTTTGAGCCATCCCTAATTTGCGGATCTTGGCAATGTCATCGTCATCTAAGTCGCGGAGAAGCATCGAAAGGGCGAAGCTGTGAGGCTTGAGGAGGAGGGCTAACCACTATTAGTATATCTTCAATCACTTGACCCTTGTTGTAAGTCTTTGACCCTTCAACGTTGTTGATGAAAATAACAGAGCCATACATATTATACACATGGCCACTTGGCGTTGAGTAATAGACATGGATATGATAAGGCATATATGAAACAAACCACGTGAGGAGACTCACCTTCACCAAAGTAGATGGTATCGGTATTATAGTCAACATAAGTACGTGGGCCTTTAGAAGCAAAAGACGAGAGAGCCAATTGGTAGCGCTTGAGGGCAATCCCTCGAGCATCTGAGCAAGCGTGGAGCATGCCTGGGATGGGTGTTGGTGAGCTGTAGAGGATACCACGAACATGTTCCGAGTATTTGGTCAAGAGGCTCTTGACATTGATTTGAACGATGCGGCCTTCATATCCTTGAATGGCAATTTCCCAAATCTTCAATTGGATCTCAGGCGGAAGTCGAGAAAATGATTTGAAGGTCGTTGCAGCTTTGCGGATCAAAGTCGCAGGGTTTGGAGGCGCAGCCGCAGCGGAGGTCGTTCTCTTCGCAGCTGACCGCGTCACGAAAGCATCACGGGTCTTCTGAACCGGAGGCATCGCCGCAGTAAGCGTATTCGCTTTTCGCCGACTCTTGATGGTGTTTCGTTGTGGTTGCGATGGAAACTGGAGAAGTAAACGCGTTTTGTAGATGGGTAGAGGAAGCGACGGGACGAGGTCGGTTGTGTGGCAGCGGTGGAAGCAAGCTTTCTGAGCGGTGACGCCAAGCACTCATGACCTGGTGAGCGGTAGTCCCTTCCCCTTTGTAAGTTTGCCTTTGAAACGAAGACGACCCCAGGCAGGCACGTGGTAGGCTTGCGGTGGGTGGACAAGAAAACTGGAGGACCTCTTTTATCTTATCCTGATTTAACTAAAAACCATTATAACATATTATCTATTTAGAATAATCAAAATGATTACCTAGCACAATAAAGGCAATTATTCAAAATATTTTAAACATTTGAGTATTTAGAATCAACTTACGCTACAAGTAATAGTTGAAAAATGAATTTCTGCCATTTTTCTTGTCCACCGGGAGGTACCTAGGTAGGCAAGACTTGCAGCTGCTATGACGACGTCTTTTTTGAAGTATTCCTCATTCTTATATGGCGCTAGTTGGCGCCAATACTTATACACTCAAATACTTCAGTATCGCCATAGCGTTTTTTTTGGTGCACTAGACGACCACGTCATTCTACTTCATTTGCTACAGACAAACGGTTTTCCCTGTTCTCTTGCATATGGATGCGTCAAATTCCAATGGAACCATGCTGTCTCTCCCCATTGCTTCTCAACATCTACGGTTGGACCAATCCAGGAATCTGCGGAGGATTTCAACTGAAGAGTTAAAAATGCAAAAAGTTGAACGTGAACTACAAAAACTTCGCCTTGAAATGCATCTCACAAAAAGAATTCCTAGCTAGTACCAGTACGAGGTCGGGGGTATCAAAAAAAGAAAGAAAATGCAAAGGGGTACAAGTAATCTGACAAGGTACATGTAGGGATCAGTTACAATTACCGGGTGCCAATCTATGGTTTCAGGAATGGGCTTTGAATTGGTTTAGGTGTCATTTGCCATCGCCTCAGACAGATCTTCTCACCTATGCTTTAAATCCGACTCGTGTCTCTCCCAAACGTTCTTACAAGCCCGATGGCCCCAGTGTTCGGTCCACCACTCCCCAAAACTATCTTCAACTTGGACATCTACCTTGGCTATTCTCTCTTCTCTCTTGAGTCCACATATAACACACGGTTTAGGCGCTGTCAGACCGCCTGGTAGCGACTTGACGTTCATCGTTTCGGTAATCTCGGGGATCACCAGATGTCTAGAGGCATCTTTAATGCAAGTGTTGGCTACAGCAATAGCTGAACGGAGTCGCCCGATTTGATCTTTCCAGACCCTCACTACTTCTGCCGCTTCCCGATCTTCTCGGGTAATTTCAGCCTTATCAACGCCTGTCAGTTTCATACCCCCTTTGCCTCCAGCAGCAGCAGGCCCAATTTTCATGGCTTGAGAGAGGATGGTATCTCTTTTCCACCGTAATTTCCGGCCTGCAACCACCCGAGCTGCTACTATAGCAATGAGTAAATATCCACGCAGGAAATCGACAGTTGCTGGGTCAGATAGTACTCTGTTTTTGAGAGAGAATGGCTGATTGACGACTCCTTTGAATAACGTGCTTTGCGGGAGATCAAATAATTGAGGGAAAAGTGTCAAAAGAACAGACGGAGGTGGGATGTTGGTTGGGGGTGGAATATCGACTTTCTGGGTTGAAATGACCTGGTCAGCGGCATCCCACCCCCGAGCGTTAGCTTCAATTCCAGATATAGCCTTCGCATTTTTTACGGCAGGAGGTTCCGGTGGAAGATCCTCGAAGTCGCCCCAGTCATCATCTACTTCGTTTACTGGCGCAGGAGAGTCTTTGTACTCAAGTAGATCTGGTTTTGGGGAAACATATGTTGGCCACGCCGTGATCGGAGATCCTGATCTTGGTTTATCCGCCTGCTTCATTGCTGCAGCCTTTCCCATGGCGAGTTCGAGTTGTCCACTAAAGGGATTCCGCTCGCGAAAAGAGGGGGATTTTGGAGCCTGGGGATATGGTAGTGGATTTATACCTATTGTGGTCGGAGAGAGTTCTTTGGGCCTTTGGGGAGGCTTAGATTCTAATGTGGTGGTACTAAAGAGTTGGTCTAAAGATTGGGGCGATACTGGTTGTGGTGGAGTAGGCTCAGACGCAGAAACGCTTTCGAAATCCCCAAAATCGTCGTCATCGTCTTCCATTCCTGCAGACTCCTCGGTGGCATCAAAGAGCACATCGTTACTAAAGGAATTCGTTGTGTTTCCCAGAGACTTTTGAGTTGTTGACATGAACTTGGTGCTCTGGGGGTGCGGGATTGACTGGAGAGTATCAACATTGCTTGAGAAGAGGTCCAAAGTGGGCCTCCTGACTATCCCAACATCATTACGAGTTTGAAAGGTATGTGTGGCCGCTGCATAGTTTGCCGGTGAGGGGTTGAGGTTCTGAGGAGGCTGCTGGGTAGGGGCCATTGCAAAATCCCCCCAGATGTCCTCCGCAGGGATTGTTGACGGTTTGGTATTGCTCGCACTTGGCTGGAAACTGTTCATGCTACCCCATATATCCCCATTCGAGACCGCCGCCTGATTCGGCTGGGCATTCCATTGCGCACCCGCTGGAACAGCTTGCGTGCTGCTTGTGCCTCCAAGAAAGGCGAGATCATTCGACGCTGGTGTAGCATTCGGTCGAACATCTTGAGGAGCTTGGTAGAAGCTGTCGAACTCGGCCAGAAGATCGGCAGACATATTGGATATTCAGGACTTGTGAAAATAGCGGGCTATGGGTACCAAAATTTAGTCAAATCTCAAGAACATCCAAATGGTGGGGAGAGACGAGTTCCCCCTTCCGGTACCTGTACTCGTACCTATGATTGAGCCGAGCCCACCGAGTCCAGGGTTGAGGAGAGCTTCGCTGCTCTACACGAGCTTGTCAGCACCTTGATGCATGTGATGATATGCTGTTGAAGCGAGCAACGTGTAGATTGCGTAGTGTTCCAGTTGAAGTAGAATTCACTACATCTGAGGAACTGAAAGTCCCTGGGTAAATTTACCTGCAGGTATTTGGAGTTGGAGTACGAAGTAAATAAAGGGTGGGCGAGAGATGCGGCAGGACGGCGAGGCTGTGCCTCATGTTGATTGGATTGGTGCAGACGCACCGGGTGTGTGCATATCCATCCCAATTTGGAAACTGGAACATGGCTCATGGCTGGCTGCTGGCAGATGTTGCAGCAGGGAAGACCATGAAAGTTAACTCATGGGCGGGAGCTTCATTGATTGCACCTCAGTATCTGATATCTCACATCGTACCCTTGCGTCGGCCGAGTTGAAAGACGTAGGTAGTAATAGTAATGCGATCGCTGGAGGATTCAAGGTACGCTGCGACGCCGTTTACCCCCTCTTTCTCCCTTATCGGTAGCCGTAACCCTAAGTTGATGCAGGAAACGATGGGAAGTCACACGAAGGCACTCCTCCACGCTCGACGCGCTGAAGAAAGCGGTAAAGGCGGACGGTGACCATAGCCCTTGTGTCTCCGGCCTGCGTTCAGTCTGCTGGAAGGTTCGTTTGTATCACAGGAAGCACCATCTTGTACGAACACACAATTGACTCTCGCTTAGACATTTTTACTTTTTCAAAATGTTCAAATTTCCACATGGTCACGAGCTCTAGTGGACTCGAGAAGTGCTTACACCTCACTGCGTGAGCATTTCTTGAGATATATAGAGAATCCCGATGAAGTAGGCTCTGCATTGGATCCCCTAGACGATGACCAAAATGTAGGATTTCACTCATCTTCGCAAAGCCCGGTTCACTGATTCTGATAGTCCCCTTGGAATACTCTGCGCCAAGATGAGCAAATCCGAGCCGAGATCTTTCAAGATGTTGAGAGATGTATGCCAGAGGAAGAATACTTTCGTCATCCCAAAACTCAACGAATCTTGTTGGACGTACTGTTTGTCTTCTGTAAGATAAATCAGGATGTGGGATATCGACAGGGGATGCACGAAGTACTGGCTCCAATTCTGTGGGTGAGTCGTTTTTCTTACTTCATAAATTCAAGAGTTGCAATTACCGTGAGAAACGAGGAAAATACATGATCATGGGATTAATCGACTTAAAAGGTGGTTGAGCAAGATGCCATCGATCAAGCAAGCTATGCATCTTCCTCGGTTTCGGAAGCAGATGAGACCCTTATAGAAATCTTGGATTCGGCCTTCATTGAACACGATGCTTTTACCATCCTGTCTCTGGTTATGCGTTCAGCGAAGGCTTTCTATGAGCTCGGCGAGCCGGATCGAAAATCGAGTGACGTGAACATGGCCCAGCAGCAAGCGGCTTCCCCCATCGTGGAGCGAAGTAAAAGAATACATGAAGAATATCTGGCTCGATTGGACCCGGAGCTTGCTACACACCTAACAAATATCGAGATTCTCCCCCAGATCTTTATAATGTAGGTTTGTTCGCTATCTTTATGTTGCTCCCAAAAATAAAAAAACATACTTACGACCGTCAGACGTTGGATCAGACTTCTTTTTGGGCGCGAATTCCCCTTCGATCAGCTATTAGCTCTCTGGGATACGTTACTTGCAGAAGATCCTGCTCTTGATGTAGTAGACATGATATGTGTAGCCATGCTGCTGAGAATAAGATGGCAATGTAAGACTTTTTCATTTTTTTCATTCAGTTTCTTTGAAACTTACTCGCTTGTAGTGATAGAAGCAAATTATTCTGTGGCCCTGATGCTCCTACTAAAGTATCCTTCGCCTGCCCCCCCACATGAACCACGGTCATTTGTTGATGATGCCATATACCTTCGAGATAACTTTAGTATCGCTGGTGGGTCAACAATCATTTCCAAGTATGGAGCGAAAGCTCCTAATATTAAACCATTAGATTCTCGACCATCAACTCCATCAAGTCGAGTGGTAAGCCCAGAACAAAGATTATCAAGAACCAAATCACCACTTCCCTCTCCATCTCGATATCTGCAGCAGCAAGGTGGAGTTGAAGCACTTTTCAGAGGCGCTGCTAAAGGTGTGCTGGAGCGAGGTGAGCGCCTTGGGATAAACCAGGCCTTGAGAGATGCTGTTGGAGAGGTGCGACAAAACATGCAAAGCCTTCAAGCATCAAGAAGCAATTCTGCAAGAGGTTTCAGGACCACAGATGGAACACGGTGGTCCCTTGATGATGGGAGGCCGGTTCCTACCGCTAAAGCTGCAATGTCAGCTATGAACAACCGTAACAAGCAACTGGCGCGTATGCTTGAGGCGGCGATGTCTGACTTACGACATGTCTCTAATGACAACGAAAGCAAAAAGAAGAATTGTGTGGAGGCTATGGATCTTGCAATTGCCAAGGTCGACTTTGTTAGGATATATCTGGAGGATGCCACCATGCCTCTACCTCCAGATTCCCCTCCACTCGCGCCTTCAAGCAATTCAACAGAAGCATCCGTTTCGCCTCCAAAAACTCTACTCGAACCGCCGTTGGATATCGCGCCAAAGTCAAAGTCTGTTGATGCCGAAACGCCTGAACCCGAAAAAGAAGAACCCCAGGAATCAAAGCTACGAACCGTAGCCATAAGCCCATTGTTAAGTGCAGACAATCGAATAGCTCATAAAGACAAGGAGAATATAGCATCGGAAGATTCAACCAAAGTCGCAGATGACCCAATTTCCCAAGCTGCACTACTTCCAAGGCCAAGGGCACCCGTTCCAACGCACTCTAGCATAGCACAGTCGTAAGTATACCAAGTCCTGTCCATTTTTATTTTGTTTTGAAGACGGCAAGGGCCAGACCACGAATAAGTTTACGTATGCTGATACATAAACAGCTCATTTAGCTGGATGCTTGAGCCAGATCCGCATTCAGGTTCCTTTAAGTCTTCTCCCCCAAAATCACCCTCGCCGTTTTCGAAATCGGCTAGAAAACTAACGTCAGGTCATGGACGAGAAAAGGCTGCATTCTTATTCGGCGAGGAACCAGGAGAAGCGAGTATGACGAGCACTAGGTTACCTCTGTTGGGTGACGCAAAAGAGGGGTTTCACCTAGGGACCATTAAGGGTGGTGACAAAACTAAGACGATTGCCGAGGATGGTTGATGGTATTTTCCGTGGAAGCATACGCTTCGAAATAATATTTACAAACTCCCCAGGAAAGAAGATTATCTTAGATTTTTCCAGTGATACATGCCAATTTCGAAATGGAGCTAACCCAGCGTACCAGTTGTATTAGTCTGACCTTCTCTGTACGACAAGTCCATCGAAACGCCTCGGCAAAGCTTTTGCATATCCGCAGACCACATGCAGTATCCCTATCAAGGAGACGCATATCGACATCTGCTTCATCGGATTGCGTCCTGCAAGATAGAAAATTTGCTCCTTCGCTGCAAAACATCGATATCGATATCTGAGCTCTGTTGAGGGGATTTTCTTCCGAGGCCAACCCAACCCCGCCCCCCGCTCGTGATAGGGCAATGTCATGTAGCCACCGACCTCCCTAGACCAATACCTGCCTTTTTTCTGCGCTGCACTCCAGTTTTCCTGCCAGAAATTCTCTACCAATGAATGGATCCTCCCCTCCAATCTCACGCCATGCGTCCGGAACTCCATCCATTCCCGAGACAGCGGACGCGGCTTTCTTGGGGGTTGTGGCAGAGGGATTGGGTGGAATTTGGTTGAGTATTTATGGACCAATGAGAGCTGGGAGAAGCTGATTTTTTTTTCTTGCTGTGGATATTGGAGGTTGCATCATTTTTCCTAACTTTCTAGGACAGTTTATGGATGGCCTAATAGGTCCGAATAGATGGAATGGCTATTCCGGGATCATTGAGGTAAGAGACCACAGAATATCTAGGTTGAGAATTCCATCTAGTCTGGAAGGCAGCATTTTCAGTGAGCTATGCCACTTTCCCAACCAGGGTAACAAGCTGCAACCTAAAATGCTTTGGTAATTGCATGAACAGTGCAGCGCAGAGGGGCAACACTGCAGCGGCGGGGTCGAATTCACTAGCAGCCAAAAAGCGTGTAAGTGAAGAGACTTGAGCTAGCTTCTCCGACGTGACTTATCAAGGCAATTATAAGAGGCCCAATGTTGGTGAATGCACCGACCAGAATTGTCACAGAATGGTCATCATGGCTGTCCCTGTGAATGTGAATGTGGTGCGGCGTGTCCAGGACCAGGGAAGGAGCCAACAGCCCCACTCTTTGGTGGTCGGTGATAGGCTCCAACTAAGCGAAGATCTCAAACCACAGGGCCACAGGTCGGCTTTTTGTACGCTAAGGGAGGGGTCAAAAGCTCTTTCCCACTTGACCTCCACCTCCACCTCCATCTCCACCAGCGTCAACCACTCTACCTCTACCTCCCTCCTGCTGCAGCAACATACCGACACTCTACTACCCGCCTTCCTCTTGAGCTCTCCCCACCTTCTTACCTCCCCCAACCTCCTTGAATCTTCTTCCACCGACCGTCCTCCCCCTCCAGCATTCTCCTCCACGACCTTACTCTCCTTCATCCCCAACCCAACCCTCAACCCTCCGATTCCGCTCGAGTCCCTCATCGCCCCACCACCTTTGACGTGCGTTACGTCTCTTTCATACTTGGGTACTCCCTTCGCGACATTTCCGATCAACACTCAACAGTAAGAAACCTGGTTATCTCTTCATTACCCATATTATTACCAGTCCATATTTTTAGTCACTGTCAATAATATCCGATCCCCTATTGTCAAATTCATCACAACTGTTATCGCATTGCTAACCAAGATGCCTTTTTCTCTACAGACAAAAGTGACTGGTCTTTGTCACGGTGTTGTCATTCAACCAATCCCATCAAAAGTGATAATTCAATTGCTCACTCTGCCCCTCACACAATTCTCGCCTCCAGAAGTCAGACTAAGTTCCAACCATGTCTTCTGTACAAGAGAACCGCGATACTGGATCCAATGGTGATGAGCTCGCCAACGACATGAACAACCTTAGCGTAGGTGACGAAGAGCGCCTGGGACCTGATGGCGAGCCTCTTCCCAAGACAGATGAGGATTACGAAAACGCCCAACTTACTCTTCGCGCCATCGTCTCTTCCAAGGAAGCTGGTGTGATCATTGGCAAAGGTGGAAAGAATGTTGCAGACCTTAGAGATGAGACTGGTTGCAAGGCTGGTGTCAGCAAGGTGGTTCAGGGTGTCCATGATAGAGTTTTGACTATCGCTGGAGGTTGCCTTGATATCTCCAAGGCCTACGCTATTGTAGCCAAGGCTCTTCTCGAGGGCGCACCACAAATGGGCATGGGAGGAGTTGTATCTCAAAATGGCACTCATCGTACGTTGATTTTCCTCTGCCCGAGTTCTGATGAATAGCAAGCACTGACATCCCACCTCAGCTATCAAGTTGTTGATCTCTCACAACCAGATGGGCACGATCATTGGCCGACAAGGTCTCAAGATCAAGCATATTCAAGATGTCTCTGGTGTCCGCATGGTCGCTCAAAAGGAGATGCTCCCTCAATCCACCGAGCGCATTGTTGAGGTCCAAGGCACCCCCGAGGGTATTCAAAAGGCCATCTGGGAGATTTGCAAGTGCTTGGTTGATGACTGGCAACGCGGAACCGGCACCGTCCTGTACAATCCGATTGTCCGAACACAACCTGAGGCTTCCGGAAGAATGGGCGCTCAACCTCTCGACCGCGGCAGTCCTCGTGGCGAGTACAACAGCAACAACCGTGTTATGCGCACTGGTAACGGTGCTGATTTCAGTGATGGCGCACCGCGCTCCTACAACAACCGTCGCTCCGATTCGGATGCTGGTCAACGCGGCCCCCCAACCCACGACGAGAACGGAGAGGAGCTCCAGACACAAAATATCAGCATTCCATCGGACATGGTTGGCTGCATCATCGGTCTTGCTGGTAGCAAGATCAGTGAGATCCGAAAGACTTCTGGTGCACGCATCAGCATTGCCAAGTCCCCCCACGACGAGACTGGAGAGCGCATGTTCACCATCATGGGCAGCGCCAAGGCAAATGAGTCGGCTCTCTACCTTCTCTACGAGAACCTCGAGGCCGAGAAGATGCGACGCAGCCAAGGTGCCTCCCAGGATTAATACTTAGGTCCAACCTCACGATGGGCTCATCAAAATTTCCTTTTATGCTGGCAAGCATTGTCTAGGTTCCTCCACCAGATCTGACTTGCCGCGAGGCTGATATTGATGTAATGGATTTTCTGCAAACGATTCATCACCTATTAATTGTTCGATATTCTCTTCACCCCAAAAGCGGTCCTTTGCTCTTTCCATGACGATTTTTCTTTTTTTCCCTTTTTCCTTACGGTACGGACTTTACGACGTTACGGTCATACGATACTTGCGTGGTATACTCGGGTAGATTCCTAGCAAGTGTTCCCCCCCTTGATACTCGATCAGACGATTCGCCTTGACATTTAATTACTCGAGACACCGTCCTCCTGCCTCGACATCTCTGCCAAACCGACGTCCATCCTCGAACGACGCACGAGAAGCGCCCTAATCTCGTCATTCATGCGGCATGACCCGTTTCTCATAAAGTCACACTCACACACATCACACATCACACATGCTCATTTTCCACTCTACTACCACGACGATGCGCACGGCGAAATGACTCGCACTCTTCTCATATACTTTGAATGACGCAGTAGCCAACCCCCAATTCCTTGACGTATGGTTTCTGACCAGTCATCTCAATCGATCTTGTTGGCGATGTAGGTAGATTGAGCCAATAGAGCATTGAAAATTATGTCCTTGATCTGATGCAGTGATTGTGAATTTGAAGTTGTAGTGATATCTGAATTTGTTTCCAATACATCTTCGCAAGGTCTCGGCTCCGATTGAAGCAAGTAGTAAGTCCACCAATGTACAGTACTCCAAAAATGTCTCGATGCTCCAACAACAGATTGCCTCGGGGTCAATATTTCCAACCAAGCCAGCCAGGCTCATCTATAAACGCCAAAGGCTACCTCTCTAACCCAAACTTTTTCCAACCCGTCACTGTTCCAAGCCCTCACATTCCAAGTTAACCTCTTCCACCCTGGTAGTCGGCACCACCAGCTTTTCGTAATCGGACGACGATATCTTTCTCGTCCAGATCCCCCTTGTCCCTCGCATCGACCTGGAAGGAGTGATGTGCCAGCACGCGTTTGACCTCGCCGCTCTCAATGCTTACGCGGGCCTTGCGCATGATCTTGGTGCCCTCTCCGATCCAGACGACGACGATGAATTTGACGCGGGTGCTTTCAGTGTCGTTTGCGTATTCGACGCGGGCGTATGCGTACTGGTTTTGTTAATTCCTACTTTCCTTTCCTTTGAATGTGGCCCAGGGGGTTTTCCAGAAGAGGAAGGGGAGGGAAGGTACGGTACCTGGGCTTGATTAGGATCTAACTTGTCGGCCAGTTCTTTTAATCCCCCGGTGCCGGTCTCGCTGAGGACTAGCTTGTCGCCGACTGCTGAGGCGTAGGAGATTATTAGCCAGTTTGCGGGGTCCTTGTCGGAGCGGACTTTGTCGTAGGCTTCGAGGATTTCGGGGGAGTTTGCGCCGGACATTGTGTGTGTGTGCTGTGTGTGTGGGATGTTGGTGTGGTTGGTGTGAGGTTGTGTGAGGTTACAGTGCTTTGAGTTGAGGTGCTTGGGGGTTTTTGTGCGGGGTATAGGTACGCGGATACCTCTCTCTCTCTCTCTCTTTTTGGAGGGCGTGGGGAATTGGTTCCTTTGAAGGGAATGGAGGTGAGAGTAGGGTTGTGAGAGATTTTTTGAGGGTTAGGGTGCTGGAGGCTTTTGGTTTGGACAGTTCTTCCTGCGCGTGGGTGTGAATGAAACTATTATGGAGGGATGCTACTTCTTACCCCACGGATGTACTAAGTACCCGTTACGGAGTGGTAAATGCTACGAGTGAGTCGAGAGTCTTAAAAAATGGGTCATGCCCGTGGTCCCAAGGACCCGACTGTGCCGATATCGTGCCGCTGCCGCCGATATGCTACCGAAGACAGCTTGCCTCGGCCATCCTGAGCTGCATCTTCATCTTGCAAGGTGTTCGTTCTGTTAATAAATTGCTTAGATTGGAACGTATTGCGCCCAACGTTTCCTCCCCTCCTTTCTCTTTTACTTTCTGCCTGTTTTGCGTCTGCGATTGCAATTCTTCGAATCTATACATTCTTTTCTTTTTGGGCAGAAGGTATGGCGAGAACCAAACAGAGTACGCCGTTACGGAGGGAACCTTCGTCGGAATACATTCAACGTGAAGCGCATGGAACACCGAGTCGAAGTCCTCGGAATATGGACAAGGAAAAGGCAGTGGAGGATGTAGAGAATGGACATGCTAACGGAGATATCCTCAAACCAGCAGTGTCGGCGACAAAAGAAGCTGGCGCATTGCAATTCATTATAGCGGTTGGTGGAATTTACGGGTCCTTGTAAGTATATCCTCAACCCCCCAATGAACCATTTCTAACCCCCAAGTCAGTCTCACATGGGCTCTCCTACAAGAGCGACTCACCACCACTCCCTACGGTGATATCTCCAACCCCGAGAAATTCAAATTCCCCGTCTTCCTGAACACGGTGCAATCCCTCTTCGCAGCCCTCACCGGGTACATGTACCTCCAATTCGACACCAAAGCCGGCTCCTCACCCGCACCCATATTCCCCAATCGTCGCATCTTCGTCCCCTTGCTGCTCGTGGCCACAACCTCCTCCCTGGCCTCACCATTCGGCTATGCCTCCCTCGGTCACATCGACTACATAACCTTCATCCTCGCCAAATCCTGCAAACTCCTCCCGGTCATGTTCCTACACATCACCATCTTCCAGAAACGCTACCCCTTGTATAAATACCTCGTCGTCCTCGCCGTCACCTCGGGCGTAGCAGTCTTCACCCTCCACGCAGGCTCGGGGAAGAAAGCCAAACCCTCGAAAGCAGCCATGAATCCGGATCGCAATGGTACATGGGGATTATTGCTTCTCGGTGTGAACTTGCTTTTCGACGGGTTGACGAATACCACACAGGATTATATTTTCCAGACTTTTCAACCGTATAAGGGACCCCAGATGATGTGTGCGAATAACCTCATAAGTACCGCTCTTACATTGAGTTATCTGGGCCTGTCGCCGTATATCGTGAATACGGGGATTGGGGAGTATCTCGGTATGGATCTCTCTTCTGGAGGCGGGGGAGAGTTCGCCGCCGCGTGGAGGTTTCTGAGTAGATATCCGGGGGTATGGTATGACGTCCTCGGCTTCGCTATCTGTGGTGCCGTTGGACAGGTATTCATTTGTACGTCCCCCTATTCCCCCTTTTTTCTTCCCTCCTAACCAAACGCCATTCTCTAACAAATTTTAGTCTACACCCTCGCAACCTTCTCCTCCCTCCTCCTCGTCACCATCACCGTCACCCGCAAGATGCTCACCATGATCCTTTCTGTGATGTGGTTCGGGCACCATCTGAATGGTAAGCAGTGGATGGGTGTGGGACTTGTTTTTGGTGGGATTGGCGCTGAGGGGGTGATTACTAGGAGGGAGAAGGTGGCGAAGGAGAAAGCGAAAGCTGCTGGTGGTAAGAAGGGGCTTTAGGGGGGAAAGAGGGAGGAGGGGGAGGATGTGGATTTTGGGGAGGGGTGTATATAGGGCGCTGGGCGTAATTTCTTTGATGGATGATGGGTGTTTAGATACCGATTTTTGTTTCACTTGTTATGTTACTTCTCTGCGTAGAGATAGAGAAATACTTTGAGAAATAGATTTTTTTGAAAAGTTTGTTTGGAGGTGTATTTCCCCTCTATTTTTTCTTCTTCTTCTTCTTGGTTCGGGGGTTTTGGATTCCTCTGTAAGTCTTATATATCGAAGATCAACCCTACTCTATGGGTTCTACGATTGGAAGTAGAGATGCATACATGTATTGGCATTATCATAAGACAAATTTTCTATTGGACGCCTTATGGGATTGGGATACCTACAGAACTATGTAGTCAACGAGATAATCTTTAATCCGTCCTTGGCCCTATACCTAGGTACTGTACAGTGAAATCTGGTGAGATTCTGAGTAAATCACGTGGTGGGGTGGGGGTTTTTATTCGTTGAATGATTAACTAGGTAGGGGCTCTACGGGGATCTTATATGATATGACACAGACGAGAAACGAGGATAGACTTCCTTTCCCGTTTAAGTGGAAATAGCCCTTGGGTCTTGTATGGCGGATCGGGGGTTTTACTATCCCTTTGTATTTTTTGAGCGTCTACTTTTGTTTTATTTAAACGAAATGTTCCTAGAATTAGGATTACTAGCTAGTTAGTCATAGTTCGTGGCATGATTTAGTAGACAATTATATTAAAACAGGTTTACCTTCGCTTAACTTCCAGCTTCCCTACTTCCTGTTTATATAGTCGTGTAGTAGTACGCTTTAATAAGCTATAGGTACGATGGTGGAGAATAGCGATTTAAAGTAAATACTCTTAATAAATAGGAAAGTCTTTGAAAATTAGACTGGGAGAATATGAAGGAATTGGTTTCATGAATCTGAACGAGCTCGTGAGTCGTGAATATGGTAGTCTGTAATAGAATTCTGGAAGGAGTGGTTAGTCTTTCGGGTAATACTTCGGTATATTCTCCGAAATATTTAATGTAATTTGTAAAGACTGTTCTACGATTCAACGTATGGCTTTGGAAGTATCATATGGATCTGACGAATAAGAGATGATAACAAGCTACACATTCCGCGCAGAGATCCTGTCCAAGAACGCTGAATAAAGTTCCGAGTAATACTCTACCTTGAATTCAAAAGTCGTTTTTCTTAGTTTCAATAAATAAAGTCCTCATAATTTCCTTTGTCTCATAAAAACATGAATCTATCTAACTTCTACTCACGATGCCGTATGATAAGTCTCTCATCTTCAAACATCCACGCTCGCGCGTCTCGAAATCCTAGACGCCTCCCCTACCTGTGACCCCAAAAGTGCCGTTTCCTCATCAGCAACCCTTGCATTTTCCGGTGCAGCGCTATTCGAATTTTGCAAGGCTGACCAAAGCGTACTCGCAATAACAATAGCACCACCAAAGAAAGACCATCCACTGGGAAGAACACCCCAGATCGCGAAATCCAGGGCCAATGCGAATATGACCTGCATATACAACATGTTCGTCGCCTTACTACTCTTATCAAGCTGCAATCCAGCCGTTAACAAGAACTGCAATACGAATCCCAGAACGCCCAGCAACGAAAGGAGAACCCATTCACGAGGTCCCTTCGGCATCGAGAATCCGATTCCCGGGACCAGGAGCAGCGCACCGGTCGATCCTACCGTCGCCAGAACTGCAAAGTACAGCACGGAGATCAGGGCATGTGCTCGATCTCCGATGATTCGGATGGTGGTGTAGGCACCTGAGGCGCCAACGATTCCCATCATGGAGAATGCCAAGGCGATCAACCGTTGTTCAGGTGTCACGTCGTCGACGACTCCTGCCTTGTCGGAATGCACATCTCCCACATTGGCTTCCACATCCCCGAAAATGAAGGAGGGATGAGCAATGAAGACGACTCCGACAAGGGCGATGAGCGCTGCGAGCTGCTCTTTGCTGGTGAAGGGTTGTTTGAGAAAGATGGAACAGGCCCATGCTGTACAGAGAGGAACGAGGAATCTGATGACTATAGATTCCGAGATGGGGAGGTAGTGAACGGAATCTAGGGATGTGAGTTCTATGTTCTGGAGTTTTGAGGAGCGAGATGAGAGCGGTTATTGGGCCTGAATGTGGGAGGCGTGGTCACGAGACACTTACAGTATAAGCACCATAACCCGAAATATCCAAAGCATGCTCGAAGGATAAGCCAGCCTCTTACTTCTGGACGACCGAGAGGAAAATCGGGGGTTTTCTTATACCACATGTAGATGGTGCATAGTATTACCGTCGCGCTCATACGAGCAAATATGACCTGTGAAAGTGTTAGTTACATTTTCTCGAGATTTTTAGCTTAGAGAAAACAAACTTGATGTGTATTCATGCTATGTCCTCCTTGCTGTAGGAATCTCGCCATGGCATCCATAGAAGCTCCTGTAAGAACAGAGAGGAGGATGAGAAACACGCCTTTGTTGTTTTGCCATGTTGACTTCCATGAGCTTTGAGTGGTGGAGTGGGATTCTTCCCTTCCCTCCTCATGTGGAGATTGCTCGTTATTTTGCGTTGACATTCTATTTACCAGAAAACCTTTTAGAAAGAGTGTTGGGGGAGGATGCGGAGTATTTGAATCCGGATCTCGGAGCAATTCGAGGTCGTGATTTTCGACAGGCAAGAATCACTTGTGGTCAGCTGGTTTGTGTAAGGAAATTCATCCCGTCGACTTTGGAATACGCAAGCCCCTGCTCCCCCACTTTACGGCACACCAGAATAGCGGTGCGTCTGAATGGAGGACCTCCCAGTCTCCACGAGGAGGAGCCATGATGGTATGGGGAAGCAGATAGAGAGAGTCAGTCAGTCACCTGCGCAGATATTGTGGGTTTTTAAAGGTTCTATTCATGCGTTACTTCACGTATTGCTTCTGTTTACCTAGGATCTCCTTAAGCGTTCAATTCGTTCGCTTCTTTACGCACGGATCCCTTTGATCGGTGCGAATGGTAGCGAAACCGGGGCCGGAGCGAAGCCGGTTGCAAGCAATTGTACGAGTGGCATCTTTGAGAGGCACAAGAGAATCTAAGCTAGTAAGAGAGCTGAATTGCTTCTGAAAGAGTTGAGAAACCTCTCGGCAATAGAATTTTTCATTTCGCTCTATTTTATAGTACTGTATTACTGTGATGATTGTTTGTAAATTTAGGAGAGGTTACGAGGCGCTTAATATATTATTGACCTTAATAATTTTGATTTATACTTGAAAAACTTTGGTATAGAATCTCCCTAGGTAAGAGACCTACTTTCTGAACTGTCTTCCACATATTTCGGAAGTTCATAAAGCTTATAACTAGCTAGAAGTACTCAGAGAGTATAGAAAGATACAAATTTAAACCTGTAAAGAAGGTATTTATAATTATTTACTAATAGATTCAAGAATCTATAGACTTTGAATTATTATACAAGGTACTGTGAACTTAAGTAATACTTGTTCATTGCTATAAAAACTATTCTTGTAGATAGTAGAAGGGAGAGAGCTAGAATATAGCAATAATTCACGATAATTTAGTAGGTTTAACTAGAAATAGCTGACCTAGAGTAGGAAATACTCTAGTCTATTCTCTTTTACTTCTTTAACTCTTTTATTCTTATATACCTTCACTAGAAGCCAAGAGAATACATATCTAAGAAGATCTCTAGTAAAGTAAAATCAAATAGTAATTAGACTAAGTTACAATCTATCTAGAATTCCTATCTATACCTCTACCACTAAATTAAACAAAAATTACGCTAGCATTTACAAACGAAGCAACCCCTCCCCCATTTCCTCTATTTCTTCCATGAATACCTAAACACTAATCCTTCGCTTACTATCCACAGGGAGTCTCTTTCCCCGTGGCACTGGCGCGAAGTGCACTTTCGGACGAGGTTTAGCTATCGCCTTTTGGTTGCTTGAAGAATTTTTGTTCGCTGGTAGCGAGGGTGCAGGGCGCGGATTTGAGGGAGAAGAGGATCTGAGAAGGGATGTTAGTTAGAATTTGGTGTGTCATGAGGGATTGTGCTGGAAAGTTGAAGGGAATTTGTTTGAGAGGAATGTAAGAATGGGAATTGTTGGTGTCGCTCGCTTAATCGAAGACATGGATTTGATGAGAGCATACTTGATAGCTCCACAAACAACAGATAGAAAGAGAATTTAGACTTACGACTTCCCGCCCTCAAATCTCTTATTCACAGACCCTCCAGTCCTCCCTCCCCTCTCCATTTTCCCAGCCTTAACAACCGTCTCCGTCCACCCCTCCAACCTCTCCCCCTTCCTTACCTCACCCCCACTCCCCTCCTCAACCCCCTCCCTCTCATCCCCTATAAGCGAACCCCCCCTAACCCCCACAAAAACACACCTCTCAACCCTGATCTGTGGCCGCATCCCCAAAAGCCTTCTCACACTCTCACTCACACTCTCACTCTCCTCATCCGACTCCATCGGATCCGGATACCGACCCCAATCCACCGGCCGAAACATCCTCACGCAATCAATCGGCGAATGCTGGCTGCCACTCGCGTACTGCGAGCAGGGCGGACACATATTAAGGAACTCTGGTGCGGGGACCGTCGTGGTGCGATTCAATGGTTTGAGGGGGGAGCTCTTTGCGGTTCTTGGTGTGCCTGTGGGATGGGGAGGTTTTGCAGTCCTAGGCTTTGCGGGCCTGCCGCCGAAGCGTCTGGCTTTTTTGACTTTGGAGGGGGGATGGCCGCGGAGGATGGGTCGGGGGCGGCGGTTGGGACGGCGGTGGTAGGTTAGGCCTGTTTGGGGGCGGACTGGCTGCTTGCCCTTTGGCTCTTTGAGTTGGAATTTTAGAAGAGCGGTTATGCGGTCGCTGAGTTTGGAGAGGGCGTTGGGGATTTTCTCTTTTTCTTTGCCTTTGGTGGGTTTGGTAGACAATTCCACGGGCAATGAATTTTCGCGTTCCGAGGGGAGTGTTTTGATGGATTTGTCCTCTGGGATGGCTATGTATGAGATCGGTGGTGGGGGCTTGACGGGTGTTTTCCCTAGGAGAGTCTGTGTGATGCGGCTTTCTTGTACGCAGTTGATCTGAGCGGTGGATGGAACGTCGATTTCGATACCTGGTTGGATGGGCGAATAATAATTTTCATCTTTGGCGGCGAGGATGCTGGCGTATTTTAACAGCGGTGTGACATGGAACTTTTCGATGCCATAAGAATGTAGCATAATCCTATCATTTCTGGTAAATGGGATGCCACTGCACAGTTTCTGGAGGAGAGATTGGTCGTTCTTGAGGATGTCGTAGTATCTTGCCAATTCGTAATCCTCAGTTAATCCAGCGTTGATATCAGGATCATGGAGTCGGTTAGTGTGATATATCCACATCCATCGTCCACGACTTAATTGGTATTTCACGATATCGACTTCGCTTAAAGTACTCTCATCCATAACAGCTTCCTCCTCCTCACTAAGACTTATTCTGGCACCCAACTTCTCGCAATCCCTGAATAACTTCCAATCTTCCGGGACGAACAAAGTAGCATTTGCAAGAATCTTCCGTCCAGAATTCCTCTGAATTAAAATGGAATCCTCCTTCCAAAGCACATCATCCCCATCCACCACAACCTCCGGAACATTCAACTCAGGAAAATGCACCCGCTCCTGCGGAACCCTTGTCCCCCGCACAAAAGCGAACCTTTGTCTAGGCGTCGAAACCCTCGACAAAACAGGCCTCTTACTACTCCCCTCACTCTCCCACTTCTCCATCGCACTCCGAAACACCATCTCCTTGACCTTATCCCTAATCCTATCCCTCACCCTATCCCTATACTCAACCTTCCCATCCTTCGGCTTCTTCGCCTTCCTCCTCCTCTCTCGAACCAGCCTCCTCAGCCTCGCCAACTTCTCCCCAAACGAAGTGCTCCGCTTATTATACCTCCCCGTGATCCCAATTCTGAAAATCTCCCTCGCGAACCGGCCCTCAATCTTCAGCGTCCCATTCGCATAAACGTGAAAAAAAGCAATGGGAAGTTGGATCTCGGGGATGATAGCGATGCGCATGTCGTGTTCGAGAGTTGCGACGGTGTTGACGACGTTGGGACGGGGTGGCCATTGGTGGAGTTCGCCTGGAGCGCGGTCTTCGAGGAAGCGGTTGGGATCCATGGCTTTGTAAAGGGATGTTGGTCCTGAGCTGGGTATGAGACCTTTGAGTACCCAGTCTGGACGTTGGGCTGAGGGGGTGCATTTCGATGCTGGTTTGACTGCGTCGGAGTCGACTTTTGGTGAGGAGTTTTCCTCGTTCTTTTTGGGGTCTTTCTCTTGGGCTTTCTTGGGAGTTTTCTCTTGAGCTTCAACAACACCCTTTTCTGGAGAAGATGGTGGTGTGGCTAGGTTAGTCCCAGAGGGTACCTGTGTGTTATTCACGCTCATTGTGAGTTAATGTTAAATCGACTTGCAAGTGAGTAACGATGAGGAAGATGGGCTGTGAATGCGCGTAGAGAAGCTATTCCCAGTAATAAATAAAAAAAAGACACGGCGAAAGTGGTAAAATTTCAGGAAAACTAGAAAATGGATATCGTACAACTACCGAGACGCTAATCATTAAAATGGAAAAAGAAGAAACTGCCGCGTCTAAACCACAATAAGCAAGCGTCAGAACTAAAAAGACTAAAATCAGAATGGACCATTCATAACCTGAAATCATCCAGTCATCATTCCTACATCCAATCGACATAAACTCCCAACTCTATCCGTCAATCAAAACTCCTTCTGAAGACCCGGGCGATTGTACACGCTCCAAGGTCTCTCTGATATGGTCATTCTCAATCCTTCTTCCGTTCAGGCGTTGTTCCTCTAATCTTTCAACACCTCTCTGGATATTCTCGATATGCACCGAGAGTGGAATCTCTGCTCGATCGCGAAGTAGCTCGGGACTACCCACTCGTTCACGCAAGTCTTCAAGACCAGCTCCCATAGCCTGAAGTCTCAAGACCGTACCGGCAACATGAGCGTGTGCCTTTTTGCGATAATTGGTAACAGACGACAGTAAACCCAGCTGCCGATCCATTTTATTCAGTTTGGTTTTATGCCCACCAACCATAGCCCACAGAGTGCCAAGGGTTTCTTCCTTTGCAATCTGCAAATGGCCATCTTCTTGAGTGGCTATTCCGTGAATTACTTCGAGTCGATCTTCAAGATTATTTAGGATCATGAGAAGGGTTTGAGCTTCTTCAATCAACTTGAAGATTTCGTCCTCCACACTTCGTGTGTGCTTGATATATTGATCCAGGAGAATTTGTTCCGTGAACTTGGGAGGCTGAAAAGGTGCGATGAAATTATCGTTGACGAAAGCACTAACTGAGCCTCGGCCAGCTGATTCCTGATCAATCCCACCCAAGACCCGACGGGTCCATCGAGTAGTGGAAATGACGTTATCGACAGCTCGGCCAATGTGCGAATTGAACCTTTGCAGGTCATATGAGGCAATACGAGCAGTTTCTGCATAAAAAACATCGCGGTCAGCATTGCTAATACCAGTAATAATTAGAGTTTCAAGACAGTCTTAAATGAAATGAAGACAGCTCGAAGAAGAAGAGAAAAGAAAAGAATAACAAGTACCTATGAACGAATCAAATTCTAATACGAGAGAATCCCTAATGAGGAGTTAGTAAACGGTCGTAGAATATTACAATAGTTTGATTAAAAGAAGCCAGCCGTTGGTCTGGGGCAGCTGCTTCACAAAGAATTATGCTAGATAGTTGAATCAATCAAAACCATTGCTCAAGAACATTTAGGAGAATTTCAACATTCCGAATTTCAATCCCAAACCCCACTCGGCCAACGGTAACAATTTTCCGGAAGGTCTCGCGTAATGAAGACGACTATCACCGAAGAAGGATGGTGGCTCCCATGAGAAAATAGGACTTACTTTGACATAAGAGAACTATAACGGACAAGCTGTCGTAAATCTCTGATAGATGACTCTCCCCTTTTCATATCCAAAGGCAAGGAAGCACCACCAGCGCTCTGCTCCAACACCTTTTCAAAGTCGGATTGGACCGTAATCAGCTGCTGAAATTCAACTGGAGGCGGAGGACCCGAATTTGGACCTCCCTGATAGACGGGACAAAAAGGCAGGTTGAGTAAGGTCACTCCTGGGATCCGACAGATTGGACTCAAGGAGGCCTGTATTGAGGTCGTAACCAGATTCCGCATCATAATCATAGCTCCGAACAGAAACCATATCGCTAGAAGGTAAGATATTGGCGTTTTAAGAATACGAAGTGCTCCCCAAAGCACATCCAAGAACCACGACGACATGCCGAGGAAATTCTGGATGGATAATTCTATAATGTTTGGGGGAGTATCTGTGTTTTCGGAAGAAGATAATGGATGCGAAGAAGCTGACTGCTGATTGTTTGTGGCGAGTTTCCTTTGATTCCGTTTGTCAGGGCTGTCGGTATAGGTGCGAGGGGACCTGCGAGTTGTTTCCCTGGGTCGATGATTACTGCGATGTCTTGAAGTCGATGTTGACTCGGCCCACGACCCATCAAGCGAATCTATATCCAACGAGGGCATAACCAATTCTGGTTCAGGGGAAATTGTGCCTTTATTGTTGGTGCGAGTACGGCGTTTCGGTGAATGCCTTAATGTTGCCGAACGTGCATCTTCATTCTCGTCGTCCAAGCTGTAATCATCGTCATAATCATCCACGACCCAAGAATTACCCAGGCGCGGCTTGGGATGGGACGGCGACCTCATATCAGCTCAAGTAGCTGCAAGACTGATGTTTGTGTAGGCGGTTAAGGCGGAAAGGGACTTTCTCGAGTGGGCGCTTAATGTTGACTTTCCGAAGGGAGTAAATATGTAGCTAGGGATGGTGGGGTAATTTCTCTTGGGAAGGTGGTACAGCAGATATGAGTATGTAGATACCTAAGAATGTTTCTTCACTTGGTACTTGTCGTCGAAATCTTCTTTGTTCAAGACTCGACGAGGATGCATTCAACATTTAATGTATTATGGTGGATAAGCGTGGATGAGTTGACATCGTCAGTTGTTCTGCGGCATGACGTTGACACATGACACCCTGGTCGCCTCGTCGCGCCTTCCATATTTTGCCTTTCGCCTCTCTTCACCTGCAGGTCGCGATGGAAATCGTTGTTCAAACCCTCCGGGATAATTCATTTAATTGTTTTAAAAACTTGGAATAATTTAAATGATTATTCCGAAGGCTCAAAAAACGTATTAGATTGACCGATATATTTGGACTGACAGAAACTGTTCTGGACATTTGGCACAATGACAATGATCTACTGCCGCTTTTATTTCTGTTTATCATCACGAGTGGACGTCTCAAATGGCAGGGATCAGAAACGCGGGTGCTCGTGACGATCTTCCTCCATTGGGAAAAAAGCTTCATAGGTAGGTAGTAGCTGGAGCTTCAAAATTAGGACGGACTACGGACACCATTTACATCACCCGTGATGCAGTCCTCGAAAGCTCTCGCTCTCCTCCGCCCTACTTCAAGGAGACAAACCTCCATATTTCGAGTGCCCATACAACAATTGGGTCTGAAGCAGGGCTACTGTTCCGTCTGTGATGCGCAACAATCAGCTTCCCCGCCGATAGTGGTGAAAGCTTCCAAAAACCTCCCCACACCTCAAGCGGACCACCGAGAATTGGGGGTACAACAAGAACTCTTTACGCTGTCAAAATATAGTCCCGGTTCGACCATATTTCTTCCAAATGGAACGAAAATATTCAACAATCTCACCAACTTTCTGCGGTCCCAATACGAGTACTACGGATTTCAAGAAGTCATCTCACCCACAATATATAAAAAGTCCTTATGGGAAAAATCGGGACATTGGGAAAATTATGCAGAGGACATGTACTCCGTGACTGGTCGAGGGGCCGAGGGGAAGAAGACTCAAAATATTGGGGAGGACGAAGAATATGGATTGAAACCCATGAATTGTCCAGGACACTGTTTGATATTTGCATCGAAGCAAAGGAGCTATCGAGATTTGCCTGTGCGATACGCCGACTTCAGTCCACTTCACCGAAATGAGATCTCGGGGGCGTTGAGTGGATTGACCAGAGGGCGGAGGTTCCACCAAGACGATGGTCATATATTCTGCCGGCCCTCACAAATCCGAGAGGAGATTTCAAAAACGTTGGAATTCGTGCGCTTAGCGTATGATGTTCTTGGGCTGGGATCTTATCGACTGGCGCTTTCCACTAGACCCAGGGAACATTTCATTGGGACTGTGGAAGAATGGAGCAACGCGGAAGCGGCGTTGAAAGAATCTCTAGATGCTAGCGGAGAACCTTGGACGCTTAATGAAGGCGACGGCGCTTTTTATGGACCAAAAATTGACATTATTTTAAAAGACACGGATGGGAAAGAGCACCAAACCGCAACCATTCAGCTTGATTTCCAGCTCCCGAAGCGGTTTGAGCTATCATACCACGCACCAGCTCCCGAGCTGGAGCAGAAAGGCTTGAGTACTACTGATGCTGAGCTTCTGTCTGTCGAAGGGCCGGTCACCCCAGTTATGATACACCGAGCGGTATTAGGGTCGGTGGAAAGAAGCATGGCTCTTTTGATTGAACACTATAATGGTGCATGGCCATACTGGTTAAACCCCCGTCAGATGATGCTTGTCACTGTCAACGACCAGGAACCAGTCGTCGAGTACGCTCGGGAGGTCAAGAGGATTCTTCAAGGCCTTGATGAACCAAAGGGTGCCACTTCTTCCTGGAAGGGTACTACTAAGCACTCAAATGGACAGTCAGTCGATATTGACGATAGTGCTCGATCAGTAAAGAAGAAGCTCTCGGAAGCCAAGAGAAGCAAGTATGCGATTGTCATTGTCATTGGTCAAAAGGATGTTGAGTCGGGAACTGTCAGAGTCGACTTCTCAAGCATACCATCATATCGATTCAACATTGCTACCAACCCAGTACTACTTAGTATTCTTGGGAAGGATTCTCAGGCAGGCAATGAGCTCACCCAGGACGAGATCAAAAATATCACTATGAAACCTAAAGATCTGAAGGTAGTACTTGAGCACTTGCGAGCAAGTCATGTCTAGAAAAGCCGCCGACATGTGTCAGTACGATGTATCAACTTGTGCTATAGCTGTACAATACTATGTGACAAGAATTCCATTGTGTCTAAGTTTCTCGTTTCCTTTTCCGTACTCGGCGTTGGAGAGACCACCAAGCAGAGGCGCTACCATGCCCGACAAGAAAAGCGAAGCAAATAGCTTTTATTGTCCTGACATTTCCCTTTGGGAATTCAAGGGGAAGTCTTCTAGAATAAGTACTCATGTTTCCCTAGAAAGGCGGACCAAGAAGAGCCACGAGCCAAAGTATGTACTTGCACCGCCACTTTTGTTGCCCATGCCAGGCACTCCTCTTCCATATCCCTTTTCCTTTTCGTCTTGGATTTCCCTCCGTTACTCTCGCAGTTCTTTGTGTTTGATTCTCGGATACTGCGATACAGAGCTCAAAACTTGAAGCAAGGTCGTGCCTCGGATATCAAATGAACAACTTCGCCCCGGTAACTCCGACAACGTACAATAATAGGTATCGACCAAAAGTTGTCTTCCTGATAGTGGATGTATGATTCGGGGCACGATAAGTGTAAAGCCCAACTCTTCGTCCCGTCATCTCTTCATCCCTTCTTCGACCTGTCCACCCATTCCCTCGATTTTCTCCACCAATCGACGTCTCTCCTCCAATTGCTCGCGCATGTAGTCGACTGTCTTTTTCAATACCACGCTCTCGCTTCGTCCTTGACCTTCTAAGCCAGGTACCAATTCAGTGAGTCGGTCGAATCCCTCACGGATTGCTTGTCTTCGCTTCTGTTCTATGGGGGAAGTTAGTTTTAGCAGCTCAGAAGAATAGCAATTCCAGGAGGAAGAGTGGAAAAGATAAAGAGGATATGACAAAGGAGAATGGAATATGTACCAGATGCTATATGATTTGCCTTCTTCTCGTGTTCCGACAACCTTGGCTTTTCATCCAGGTTACCGTTGGAAGAGCCAGCATTGGCAGACCCCTCTCTTGCGGGCGATGTAGACATACTGTCGTCTCTCCTCAGGATGACTGCTTATCAGCTGATTTCTGCTGTCAACTTGAGGTCATTGTAGGCGTTTTGGGAGCTAGTAGCGAGGAAGATAGCGTATGAATTGGTGGTGGTGTTGATAGTGACTGGCATTAGAGAGCATCTGGGTGAAGTCTCACTTTCCTCAATCACATGCTCAGCCCAGAAGCCCAGAAAGGAAGTGACGATGATTGTTCAGCCTTGTCGGTTCAAGTTCGGCTCATTCTCAAACCTGGGACCTGGGCAGCTTTCAGCCACAGCAGCTGTCTGCCTCGCCAGACTTTCTAGTACTCAATCTAGGCAAGCTACCAACCCATTTTCCAAAACGAAAAACACCAAGGAAAAATGACGGAGAAGAACTCGCAAACCACCCCAGATCCTCCTTCATACGATGCAGCTGCCGCTGAACATGGAGCTCTACCAGCAAGAAACGGTCCTCCCCCAGCTGGAAAAGCCCCCTTTCGTCCCTTTCTCCTCGATCTACCAGTCCTGAACCAATTGAGAGGAAAGAGAGTTATATTAGCATCCGCCAGTCCACGAAGAAAACAAATCTTAGCTCCAGTACTTACCTATCCCATCCCTCACTATCTACAAGTCCAAAACTAACCAAACACTTAACTAGCTGGGCCTGAATATGGAGATTACCCCCTCAACCAAACCAGAAGATCTCTCCAAGGACCTAGACCCTCTAGAATACGTCATGCAAACGGCGATCAAGAAATGTCTTGACGTCTACCAAGTGGCACTCGAGAATTCTATGAAATCCATCCCGGACCCCGCACTCGTCATCTCGGCGGATACCATCATAGTCACCAACACGGGCCGGATTCTCGAGAAACCCCGTTCGGAAGCGGATCATCTTGCGATGCTGAAGATGTTGAGGGATCAGAAGAATCATCGGTGTTATACCTCTGTTGCGGTCCTGGCACCGAGGGAGGATGCAAGACACCCAGGCTATAACATTGAGACGACGGTTGAGGAGACGAAAGTGGTGTTTGATGAGAATGTCAGCGATGAATTGATTGAGGCGTATGTTAAGACGAGGGAGGGTGTGGATAAGGCGGGAGGCTATGGGTTGCAGGGGATGGGCAGTTTGTTGGTGGAGAAGATTGAGGGGAGTGCGGATAATGTTATTGGATTGCCTCTGCGTGCTACGCTGGCGCTGATTGAGAAGGTTGTTATGGGGGATGATGAGGAGGAAGACGAGGAGGAGGATTTAATGTAAAGATCGGGGATGATACTTGATGAGCATTGCTGGCATAGCATTTCAATGGCGTTTGGAAGACTGACTGTCTTCGCACGATAGCGGGACAGGTCAAGGGATTAAGAACATATTGCATCCCATACTTGCACTCAGGCCAATGAGTTCTTTTCTTGTTTGAGGGATAATACATACTCTTCTTCTCCCTGCGGTTTCCTAAAGTAAACAGAAGAATTTACTAACTCAGCGAGGCACACGTAAAGGAACCAATCCCAGATATTGCTCGGCAACCAACTTCCTGGCTTTCTTACTGCTCTAGCGACTCTCAGTAGTCAGGATTGTCGTTCGAAACTTATCGATTCAATAAATTTGGGTAATATCCTCAAACATCCCAGACAAATACCCGAATTTTGCGAGGTCATCTTGCGTATCGTTGCTTACTATAACTTATGTTATTATGACCAAGTAACTGACAAGTACGCGCAGACTAGTACTCCAAACCTCTCGCGCCGGTAGGATCTGATTCGCCACGAATATCCTTCCGTTACTTTTGGCGTGTCTAGTAAGTTGTTAGCTCTGGGTTTAGTGCAAGAATGAAAAGATTTTGTGATATGACAAGATAATTGTTGAACCTCATATTTATGAGGTCAAATAATTGCGGCCAAGGGCCTATTTAAGCATTCCTGAATCCCTCAGAAAAATCCTTCTTTCTCCTCACGATTCCGAAACCTTTGTCATAGGAAAATCTTACTTTCTTCATCAAATCCCAAATCTCAAACCACACAAACATTCTACTTTTATATCACACTTTTCTACAAACAACATCTCAAACCTCTTACCCTCTTCAACATGGCTATAACAAGAAAAACACGGTTTTCCGACCTCCCCAGTGAACTACGCTCCATGATCTGGAATTACGCATTCAACACTTCCTCCCAGATTCAAACTCTCAGCATCTTCGACACACGCCTTTACGAGCGAGACAACAGCAAAAACACCATCGTCTCCTCATCCTCGTCTACCACCGTCGGGCCAATCATCCCAGTCAAGTCCCACTGGAGCATCGTCTCAGTTCCCAAACGATGTCTCCCCACCGCCCTCCTCACCTGCCGCGAAACCTGGGCCTTCTCATCAAACTTCCTAGGCGCTTACCGAGAAAGCCATGAACTCGTCAATCCCGCTTCAATCACCATATTGCAAGCCAACCCCGAGAAATTCTACCAAAAGACAACTTACTCACCTATCCCCAAGACCATCCAGAAGGGACAAGACTTCCTCATCAAGCCCGATGAAATCGTCCATTTCCGCCCCTTCGAGCAGACGATCCGCTCCGACTCCGGCCATACATTAGAAATCACCAGCCAGGATCGGGCGATGAAGTTCTTCGGCATCAAATACCTCGCCATCTCCTACACGGATCTGTATTATTTCAAACACGCCACTCCGCACACCGTCAAATTCCACAATCTGCAAATCCTCTTCGTGCTCAAACCGCAGTATGGAGAAAGAGAGGGCAATCCCTGCTCCGAAGACGAGTTCGAATATGCTTTCCGATATGCGAATGCTCGCGCCTTGAGGTATACCGACATCTACCCTGTCTGGCAGATGGAGCTTGACGAGCTGCCTCTCAGGATCATCCGAGTTGACAGCTTAGAGGCGGCGGCGAGGGCGGTGAGGAGTGTCAATAAGTTGGAGGCGACGGGGTGGGAAATGTCGAGGAGTGTTTTGTGTGTGGCGTATAAAGGGGGGCCGGGGGTGTCTGCGCTGCCTTATTCGGGTCCGGTTCTTGGGAGGCGGACGGTGGATTATGAGCTTAATCTTTGGAGGGGTTGCGGGGATGGGGTGAGGGTGCAGGAGCTTGTTGATTGGGATGAGAGGGAGGAGATGGGTGGGCTTGATGGGATTGATGTGGTGAGGATGCTTGCTTCGAATTCTAATTCTTTCTGGGCGGATGATGAAGATGATGTTGCTGGCTTTGGGGATTATTTCTCGGCGTTGGATGAGTTGGATGGACTGGGTGGACTGAATGGAATGGATGATTTGGATGATTTGGATGAGCTAGATGGGCTGGATGAGCTGGATGGTCTGGACGACTTGGATGAATAGATAGTTTGCATATCTCTGGAAATTTGAATTACTTCCCTTTCTATCTCATCTTTTTACTCCTCAATTGCTTGGTCCGCGGGTATCTTCCCAGAAAAGCTACTCACAGAAATAAATTCATTTTACCATATAATACATATAATACTACAAAGTCAAAAGCTTCGCATACGCGAATAATTCAAGGGCACATTGCAAATCACGGTAGAATGTTTAGCGAACTTTTGTTGTACCATCTTAGCATTAACTTTCGCTTATCATTTGTGCAGAAGAGTCTGGCTAGAGAGAAGCAGAAACATATCTAACCCAGAAAACTGCATGATTGTCCCTTACTCTCCCCTGTCAGACCATGGTAATCGTGTACTGTTCCTTCCCAGCTTCGTAGTGGAGGATCAATGGACCCGTCGTTTCGATCATGATTCTCTGGGGTGTTCCCAGGCCTAGTCAGGATGCAAGATCGGAAGCTGTGAGGGCGATGGTGGTGAGCGATTGCAGAGCCCACGAGGAGGATTGGTTCGAGGAGAGGATTGGTGGCGGAAAGAAAAAAAGGGTATCCCCCAACCCCTATTCTTCTCGGATGGCGCGCTCTAATGATTGATGGCACCACCACTTCATCCTTCTCCTCCTCACTCATACCAGCACAAATCTCATCCATCCAGTACTGGGCAAAACCGACTTCGAACTGGGCGATGCGATCGTTGAATTCTGCCGGGATCACAACGCCATCGGTCGAAAGCTCCTTGATTCGCTTATGACCAGATGGATTGGGGTTGCAGCAATCAATGTCCCCGAATACCAGAAAGACCTCTCTCAACGTTGGCCTAGCGAAAAGATCCCAAATGTCAGTGTCGGGGTCCTCCTCCTCCTCAAACTGAATAGCGACACGCTCTACTGGCTGCCCTGGGGACATGTCATAGAGTGAGGTCCAAAACTTGGTAGTGCAATGGTTCAAGTTGAGGTACAAGATGTCGATTTCGAAATTGATGCGATGGCGAAAAAGGGGGCAATGCTCATCAGTTCGACGATCTTGGGCAGGCCTTGGGCAATAGTCAAACGTCTCTGAAGTAAGGTCCTCGTCCCAAGGATCGCCCTGGTCATAGGATGTACCGTAATATTCCAGACGGTCTCCAGCATCAGCAAGGGTACCGCAATAGTAGTTATAGAGTTCCGTCGTCCATGCATCGAGGGTCCAGTCGCGACCATATGCTGGTTGTACAGCTGCCCTAGCAGCATGCGTGGCCTAACATTGTTAGTTATGAACTCATTCATCAAAGGTATGACTTACCAATAGAATATCAGGAACCTTAGCATCAGTGCAGTAGTGGCGCGGGTATCCCTTGACCGTATACACCATCATCTCAACGACCCGACCAGCATCCTTCATCGCCATCTCCCATATCTTAATCTGTATCTCCGCTGGTAGCTTTGGGAAAAGCGTGAATGTGGTGGGTGCGAGAGCAGTGGAAGGGGTTGGTTGCTCCATGGTGGAGCAGGTGGTGGTGGTTGTCGGCTTGAAAGAAGAAGAGGAGGTTTGCGCGGAATTCAAAGAATATATACATGGTGGGTTGTCGGCTAGCTTGACCGACAGCCGCTAAACAAACAAGAGTATTAGAGAGCACTTCCAAGAGATTCTATTGGTTCTCTTGTGCCGACTTTGTCGGGAAGTCGGAAATTGCTGCTTTGAGGTGTTGTCGCTCGCTTATTTTTGCCGATAGCTCACGTAATTCACTGTTTGTTTTCAGAACTTGCCTTAAATGATTCACTACTTAAAGAATTCACTATACTTTGATTTCGTAGTCCTCTAGTAAAAATGTATTTAATAAAGTTGTTTTAAATGTCTAGAGTAATATAATTATTATAGAAAACTAAAATTGAAATAATTTATTTACTTAATAGATGTATATTTACTACACTTTTTAAATGTCTTATTAGATAGTTTTACTTAAAAGGGGTTAACTAATAGAGTTTTAATATAAATCTATAGATTATAAAAGAATTTGATTTCTTATAATACTTTATTAAGTAACTAGATTTCTTTATTTATATAATATATGTTACGGAGTTGGAGGAACTGGGGGCGGATCACGTGTAGCATGGCCCGTGCGTGCTACTGGACTGCTGTATTTAGGCTCTCGTTCCTCTGGTACTCTCTTCTTCTCTCACTTAGTTGTTCGTTCAATATAGCAGTTTCCGGTTTGACTCAGTATTCATCACAGCAAGCAGTGGTTCACTCCACACGGTCACAATATAATCTTTTTAAAAAGTTATTAGTTAAAAAAGTATTAAATTGATACCTTTAAAAGACTAATCTAAGAATATTATATAAATCTTTCTTTCGTAAATAGAATAGAAAATTATAATAACATTATTTAAATTTGAATAAAAAGAAAGTATAATTTATTTTATAATTATTTCTTTAAAATATAAAAGTTTATACTTTTCTTTCTAAGTTAGTATACGTTAAAATTTAGATCCTATAAGCTATTAATTATAGTCTTATAGAATGACGCTTATAATTAATCTCTTTTTAAATTAAAACTAATAAAATCTATTTCTATAGTATAAACTAAACTAATAAATACCTTAACTTATAGACTTATAAAATATTAGTATATATATTATAAAACGAGTACTCTCGGCTTATTATAATATAGTACTAGCTAGCCGAGGCTCCTAGACCTACTATTTAACTTATCTCGGTTACCTAGGCGGAAACCTAGTATTCTAGTAGCTTCTACTTAGTTAGGGTTATCTTGTAAAGACTCCCTACTCTATTAGCTAGCTTTCAACCTTATCCCTTCCAGACCATAGAGATACAAAATAAACGTGCACTCGAGAGTGGATAAAGTGGATGCGATAACTAGGTCAATTTAAGGCTCAAATGCTTGGAAACATAATGTGGTTGGTTACACGACTTCATTTGGCGGAGAAAATGTTGTAAATGTGGATACTATACTCTACCTAGGAGTGCACGTTTTTTTTGTGTCTCTATAGTCTAGAAGGGATACTTATTCTGTTCTATACTATATTCTATTTGTCTTCTAACAATTAGTAGTAATACTAGGATCTAAGTATGTCTTATCTATCTTTCTAACGAAATCTGCTCGTTACCGAGTAGCCCTAGTATAAGGTACCAGGAAACCCCCTTTTTTACTCTCGCTAGACTAGTTGTAAAATCGTAATAACAGGTTATTTACTTTTTAAGGAGCGCTAGGTTTTCGTAGGACCGACCTCTCGACTATTTGTAAAAGTGTAATAACAGGTCATTCACTTCTCTAAGGAGTGCTAGGCAACTGTCTTCCTTTACTATAAAAAGACCGATTCTTACCCTTCCTCTATACTCCCTGTTTTAGACTAATCTCTTTATTAGGTCATTTTAGTTAAATCGACCGATTTCTATACTTACGAATAGTCTTAACTTGACCTGTAAAACCAGCGGAAAAACAAAACCTACAAAATCTACCCTAGCGGTACGTACCAATCTAGCAGATAACTTACAAAATAACCCCCCTTTCGTCTCGCTTAGCCACGCTCACTTCGTAATATACGCGGCCACGCACCCTTGAATGACCCGAAAGTCGTTTTCATCGCCTTCCGACTGAAAGTAGAAATCTCTCGCAACCTCTAAATTACAAAAGAGCTTAATGCTTCTACTCGCAAGCTTGTTTCCTTTATCACGTACGGAAATGCCCCGCCAGACAACCAACCAATAGCTCTACCTACTGCGAAGAAAGAGCTTAAACAGGACCTCAAAAAACTAGGTACGAAGGTATATTAGGCTATGTACGCTGTAGTATCGTTATAGGAACAGGAACAGACGGAAAAACATACTTAGGATCCGACGGACTTCTGGAACACGAGGACACGCACCTACCTTTCATTTGTTTAGGATTGTATATATCGTATTACTCTAGATTTAGTACAGATATTAATGTATAGATACCGGTACATAGAATTAGAACCTACTAAACACTCATTTGGGTATTAGATTAGAATACCTATTTAGGTTAGACATATTTAATTGTTATAAAAACAGTATGGATATTAATGAATAGATACCGGGAAGGGTCTAGATTTTGTATTTGGACTTGTATTAGACTTGCATTTAGACTTGGATCTAGACTTGTATTTAGACTTACATGTAGACTTAGACGACCCTGACCGAGTAGAAGCTGCTAGAATAATACTTGGCATCCGCCTAGGCAATCGAGATAGGTTAGGTAGTAGGAACAGGAGGCTAGCTAGGACTATGTTGTAATAGTTGCCCGTAAAAAAGAGAAAAAGACGACGCCCTCATTGTTATAAGAGGCGTGGACTTTTTATAATTACTAGACTGATATCTAAAATGTAGATAAGTGTACCACTAAATATAAATCGGTGGCTCTTTATAAGTATATGTGAGAGGCCAGACCTCGAATAGCTCAAAGGTGTGGTTTCGAATATTCAATTAAGAAGTGCGTGAAGACTACATACATACAAGCTCTTTCTCTATATATAGAGAGAGGAAGAGCTTCTAGACTATTCCAAGAAACTGCTTAACAAATACATGATGTCAAGAGAATAGAACAGAAAAGTATAGAATAGAAGAGACTTGCTTGGCAGTGGGGTTATGGCCAGTGCTGAGCAGGGACTTTGGTCAGTGCTTAGCGAGGGCATGGCCCGAGCCTCCATCATGGGTTCCAACTCTCACAGTAAGTCTAAATCTTATAAAGACTCCCTACTCCCTTAGCCAGCTTTCAACCTTATACTAATTCTATTCTACACTATGTCCTATTCGTCTTCTAACACGGCTCTCCTATCTAGTACTAGTATATTCTATTGAAGGCGCTTGTCCTATTCCGAACACTTCTATACTAATACATAGCTCCTGTATTAGAGCCCTGCTCGCCCCCTAGATGGCTCTTCTCTTCTTATTCTACTTTTAGTAGCTTATTGTAATAGTCTCCTGTTTTATCCCTGACAATTAGTAGTAATGCCTTAGAACCTGGGCACGTCTTGTCTATTTCGGACGAAATCTGGTTATTATTACCTAGCTCTAGTATTAGGCACTAGAGAATCTCCCTTTAATATCTTAACCACTCTTACTTAAGGTCGTGGTCAGGCCCTTAAATCGTTGTACCATCTCTACGGTAAAGTAGATGTCGAATTCGCTGGAGATTTGAGAATTGTACTCTTCCTTTACAACCCTTTTCTATACTCGCGAATACCCCTTACTGAGCCAGCAGACACCCCTCTATTATAGTAACCCGGTTTGATATAATGCTTGAGATTTATTGATTACAAGGGAAGAGAGTTTAGATATAACACGTAATTTATATTATAACTTTGCCGCGATTAATAAGATAAGACCTAGACGATCTAGAATGTCGATTAGGATAATTAGGAACTGGAAGTCGACAGATTGGATTGTAAGATTAAACAGTTGTCGGATAGATTAGAGCGAAAAGCCTCTCAGATTCAGCGAGCTCCTCGAAGGAGAAAATAAGTCAACTCGGTACAATCAGTCAACGTTCAGCGTTTAGAATTACTTTCCTTTCCAGGCTTCCTCTATGGATTATTCCATTCTACTTTAAAGGTGGGCTGGAATATTCCATGATTCCACTATGGAATTTGGAATTCAAATTAGAATATCACATGACTATAATTTCGTTATTCTAGGCCCTACAAGTAATAGAAAGCTTAACATAACTAAGATTAGCAATTACGAGGAGACTACCCGTACATTGTTTTAGACTACTAAGCCCGCTACGTAAGCTAGTAGCATATAACTACCGTAGTGAATCACTAAACTAATTCACTTTGTCCTTACCTCACTTTAAAACCAAGCTCTCTTGTCAGCCAAAAAGCTATACATATATTCCTTTTGGATTTCCAAATTCCGGAGCCTTAACCCTTAGAGCATTGCATTCCAAATATAAAAGCCTTTAGAATATTATGTGTTGGAATAGAATCTTAGGATCCTTGAAATCGTATTCCAAGTGTCGAGCGTTGCAATCAGTCAAGCCAGTACAACGGGTCAAAGCTGTACAGTCATCGGACCCACCGCAGGACCCAATACCAGACTCCAAACCACGTACTCCATATCGTCTTTCCCCTTGTAAAACATATGACTCTTTGGAACTTTTCACCTATTTCGAAGCAGCTAAATACATGGCCAAGGCTCTTATTTTCAGAACTCTCGCTTCTTAACACTTCTCTTTTTCGAACGAACCAAAGAATGAACCACCTCTTGGCAATAGTACAAATCACCCCCCTTTACATTAAGCGAGCATAAGTAGTTTAATCACAAGTACAACTAGATACGATATTCGAATATAAGTGGCTTCGTTTTTTGCTACTTTAACCATAGAGGACTCGCTTCGCACTTGTTTAGAAGCAGGTACGAAGTATAGGATATAGGACCGACCTTTTTTCATTTGTTTAGGATAAACACAATAGATTCACATTAGGTTTAGTATAGATACTAATACATGGCTACCAGTATAGGATAGAACCTGTCTGAAACACTCATTTGGATATTGGAATTGTATATGGACAAGGATTTGGATTTAAGTATACTTCTTTAATTCCCGGATGAGTACTTATTAAGAGTCTCGTCCATAGAGGGATTAGTAACGCCGGGGGATCGTCTTTCGATCTTATAGCGGCAATTATTATAACACGAGCACGCCCGGCTCTACCATCTAGCACTAGTATATTATATAGAAGGCGCTAGCTAGTCCTATTCCGGACACTTCCATGCCGACAGGCAGCTCTTATATTAGAGCCTTACTCGCCTCTTAGCTAGCGTCTTTCCTTATTCCACTTTTTATAGCTTGTTCTAACAGTCTCCTATCTTCTCCCTAATAATATACTTATCAAGAGCCACCAATTTAGATTTACTATTACTCGTTTACTTTAATTCTCGGACAAGTACCTACTTATTAAGAGTCTTGTCCATATATGAATACTTATTGTGATATCGGATAAGTACCTATAGAGAGTCTTGTCTATCCACATCGTCTTCTGATTTCCTGGCGGCAATTATTATAACATATGGGTCTTAGCCGAGAATCCTATCTCTACTACCTGACCCTTGTCTCGGTTACTAAGGTGGATACCTAGTACTCTAGAGCCATCTACTTGAAGAGGCCCTCCCCAATCCCACGTTACAGCCATCGGAGAAAGAAGTCGCGAACGGAGCCCAGAGAAATGAGCGTGTTGAGCAGAATGAGTACCCAAGATGCCACTCCCAGACCTAGTGTGAGCCGTGAGGTCACCCTAATCGATTTCGATAACCTGATCATCGATAGCCCCACAGCGCAAAGACAGCAGAGACGAGATGCGGCCAGGCTTGGTCTTGTGGATGTACTCTATTGGTGTCGTCTTATAAGATTTTCTACTCCTCTTAGCTATCTTCTCTCCTTATTCCAGCTTATCCATTCTACATTGTGACCTCGTCTTGTGACAGGTAGCAACTTACGGCGAAGTAGGGATCTTCTAGTCGTATATCAAATTTCAAACAAACCCCCTTATTCGTAATCACTTACATCTTAGAGCTATATACATGTCTCTGCACTATGTAATAATGGTGTATACATATCTAACAGAAAATATAGAGAATCCGCGCAAAAGAAATGGGGCGGGCGCCTAGAAGTACATATAGTGCGTGCCTATGCTCACTCTATAGGTAATCGCAGAAGCCCACTCGATGTATTAATCTTTCGGCACTGTAAAACGCTGCGATTCGTATAGCTCCTCACTCCAGACAACACTTTACACTTAATCCATGAATCCACTGGCAACATGACAGAACACTTGCAGGGCACCTGCAGGAGTTGGAATAATACACGTTACCATAGATCTAAGGAGCAAAAAATCAGCAACTACTCGTAGACCTTCAAAAACTTCAACCTTCTACCAACCCTTCAATTCGACCTCCATACATAGCAACAGCATCCAGCCCCAAAATAAATCACGGAAGTATCTTAATCCGAACCCCCAGACTACCATCCTTCGCAACAGCAAAGAAATAATCCCGATGCATCTCCACATCCCCCACATCCGTCTCAAACAACTCCAACACCCCCTTATCGCCTTCAAGCCTATACCCCTTCCCTCCAAAGTTACTAAATACAGCCGCCAAACACAGATACAACTCCGTCCACGCCAGATTTATACCCAGGCAGATTCTAGATCCCGCACCAAAAGAACAGAGACACTTGTCCAATTTTCCGGTCTTATCTTCAAGCCAGCGCTCTGGCTTGAAGAGTGTGGGTGATGGGAAGATAGTCTCATCGTGGTGAGCAACTCGGTGGTAGGTGGAGACGGACGTTCCAGGAGGGATAGCCCAGGATTTGTAGTGCATTGTTTCGGTTCGAGCGATTCGTGGGAAGCGCACACTGGCTCCATATGATAGGCGTAACCCTTCCTTGATGACCGCCGTTAGATACGGTAACTTTTCATAGTCTGGGACTGTGAGAGCTTCTCCGTTTGGCTTCTCGCGCTGAGCGCGAGCGAGTTCATCTTTCAGGTTCTTTAGAATGGAAGGCGACGAAAGAACATGGTAGATAGACACTGTTAAAGCCCATGCTACAGTATGGAGTCCTGCACCAGCAAGAACTATTGCTTCACTTGTGAGACGGGTTGTATTCTTCTCGCTTTCCGGTAAGTCACTATCGAGAAGAGAGTGGAAGATTGTTAGTCTTTCTGCTTTGCCTTGACAGCTTGCATCCTTGGCCTTTTCGATTTGCTTGCGATACTTCTACAAAGGGCTCAATTATTATCTGTGTCCAAATATAAAGAGTTCAAAGAATCAACGTACTATCCGGAGGATGGTTATAGCCCTGAGAGTAGTACCCATGTATACACCCAACCATTGTGGAAGTGCAAAAACGATGCTAAGTATCCACGGGAATTGTCTGAAAACATGAACCATCTTCGTTGCCTCGATCTCCTTGATGTAAGTAGTCGGGTCGAAATCTTTGGCTTGTACGATGTTGTCGGATTCGCCGAATAGGTACTCATGAATAACATCTACACCCCTCGCGTAAGAAAATAATTTTCATAGAAGATGCCAACGAAAATCGCATACCATTGGCAAAGGCACTCAGTGCATATAAAATATTGATTGGCTCGTCGTTTCCCCTTAATTCTTCAAACCGTGCCATAAGAGCCTCTACGCGCTCCACGACCAGAGGCGTCAATTTCCTGGTACTTGCCATAGAAAAAAAGGGGCTTAGGGCGGCCCTCCTTCTCCTGTGTAAATCATGGGGTGGACTGTGAGAGTATGCCGGTGTCAGAATCATTGAACTAAAACGTTCATGCAGATACTGGAGCGAGGAACACTTTTTGAGGCGCAGGGAGTGCCGCGAACTTCAGGAAGAACCCAAAATAATGAACGATCATGGAAATGACCTACCTTTCCAAGACGCTATCTGGGAGTGTAAGGCCACTCGTGTGCCATGCATCGCGGTCTCGTCGGTGACCAGCACCGGCGTAAATCTCTCCAAAGAATTCAGGATCGGAAACATGAAGCTCGTGAGGGTTTATGCGGATTATCGATCCATATTCTTTGTGGAGATCAATGACTTTGAAAACGTATTTACCGCCGACAACGGCGTCGTAATAGAACTCATACCTATTCTCCATTGTTAGCCCAAATTCTATGAAATTCTTGCTCGAGATTGACATACCAGTACGTTAAAGCAGCTAGCTTTGGTCCGGGAAACTTGGAGATCGGGCTGAAGTATAATCGCCATATTCCCTGACAGACGAGATAGACTACATATGAAAGTCCCAGGATAGTCAAGGAAGAGGTGACGCTACGGTATGCAACTTCTTCACCCATATCTAGAATGGGCTGCAAAGACGTATTTTGGGGCGATGCAGCGGTGGGTATGAGAGGAGAGTGATGGTGGTTTGACAAGAACTTCGTCCCACAACGCGCTACCTGCTTAGGCGTAGGTGACTGTATGGTCTCTTTCGTGACACGAGGATGTGAGGATGAGGGGTGATGCAGAGATGAGAGCTCTCCGATAATGGAAGAAATGGGAGGGATGGGATGTGGGGATTTGGCTGCTTAACTTGAGGAAGGAGCGAAGATTGCATCTGGGGAAAGAGCACAACTGAAGAAGCTTTCTGTTGTGGTCGGAAGAAATCCCCTCAAGAACCGCCAATTCCATGCCCACATGATTGAGTTACAAACTTTGTCACAACTGTGCTACTTTCGGAACTTGGGTGGAATGTCTTGTGATAGCTCTAAAACACGACGAAATGGCCAATCCAAACACCTGGCTCAGTTCAAGTATATCTCCACGTTTTTCCATTCGGATCTTTTGGCTTTATGACGTTCCCCAGATTTATAATCAGCCATTTTACCTGCAGGCTGAACATTGAAATCGGTCTAGTGCCGCTTTTCTTTTTGTATATCTAGAGCCTGTGATTCTGTGTTATGGAAGTAGAGCTGATGTGTACCCTCAAAGCTGATAAGAGCGTGAGACAGTCAAAAAGTCACAGACTTCTCGAAGACACCAGGAAATCGAGGTTTCCATACGTTAATATGTGTGTATGTTGCGCGATATGTATACGGTGTTGAAGTGACCTTTGGTAGTGACCCAAATTGATTTTGTATTAAAATCATAGTTACTGTAATGTTAATTTTCGTGTATGTTAATTCGTTGATATATAATTTTGTTCGGAGTAGAAGAAAGTTCATCAGCTGATGGGCTCTGGAGGCGATTACTACCTGAAAAGCCTGTCTCAGTTCATAGCTCTTCTTGATTACCACTCTCCCTGGATCTCTCTGCCTCGTCGCGTGCTTCTTGTCGTCGCTCCTCGGCAAGCTCATCGTGAGTCTTGTGTCCCGCAAAGAGAGCTAGGATACCAATATCATATGTAACCTTACAAGCCCCCGCAGTTACAAAAGACACCCAGAAAAGCTTGTTTTGAGCTAATATACCAGTAGTAAGAGGCCCAAGGCTCTGAGAGGCTGTCTTTACAACATTTATCACCCCCATAACAGCTGTTCGTTCGTTAGGAAGAACAACTGCAGCAAGAAAGGCGGTGCGAGGCACTACATCCATCGATGCCGTGCAGGAGCGCAGTATGAGGAATATCATTGCTAAAGGTAGCGGAGAAGGGACTGGTATCAAGGACAGAAATATCGATGATGGGAGGTGAGTAAAAACCATTGTCTGTTGCTTGTCAGGACCCAGAGCAAATGATGAAATGATTTATAGGACCTACCTTGACATTTCCGATTCTCTTCGCAATGGAAGAGGCGATGAGCATAGATAAGGCACTGATAATATTCGTTGTGAAAAATAAGCCGCCTAGAGTTCCTCCTGAGAGTTTGAATTTCTTCTGAAAGAAGAAAGAAACCCATGATCTAAACCAATTAGCCAAAATTCATCTTGAATAATAATTCAAAAAGGACTCACAGTGGGACCAAACCAGAAGCAAACGAATCTAGAGCAAATAGAAGGGCCAAGTTGACCACAATCAACCAGCTTCCTTTGCTAATCTCTGGCAAGAGGGAGCGCAGTTTAGACTGCTTTGGTTCAATCTCTCTAACAGCATCCCCAAGAAGAGGCGCTGCCTCTGGGTCTAGAGACGAAGGCGGGGCAATAATTTTTCTCTCAGCTTCAACCACGCTTCCCAGACACAAGACCAGGAATAGCTTCACAATACCGAATCCAGCGTATACCCAGAACAAAGTCCTATAAATATCGATATTGCCCCAAGCTAAACCCTTTCTCATATATTCGATAAACCCCCCCGATGCCGCAAATCCTAGCGCTGTTCCACTGGTCCCAAGCAACGTGTACCAGGCGAAGATATCTCCCCGTTTCGTGGCGGGGACAAGCTGCGCAAGAGTCGACTCTTCGATTGCCCGAAAGGGCCCGATTTCATTCCCTCTGCAAAACATATATCAGTTCTTTGAAGGCTCGAGTCTGGTTGGCACAGATGACCTACCCAGGACTGATGACACCCACAACCGCAGCCTGTAACAATATCCAATAATTGCTCGAAAGTGCAAACACAACCCCGCTGCTCGCCATCAACACCGCGCCCACCGCCAGAATCGCCTTCCTACCCAGCTTATCCGCGAACAGCGTCAACACTAAGCTGATAATGACATCTCCCACGAGGGTCAATGTCATGAACAGCCCAATCTTCGCCTTCGAAATGTCAAGAGAAGCGAGGTAGTCGACGAGGATGAGCGTGGTGGCTCCGTAGGCAAAAAGTCGAACGAATCGCTGAGCGCAGAGGATCTTGACATTGATATCAGATCCCCAAAGGGAGATGAGGCCCAGCTCTTCCAGAGCATGGAAGAGGTATCTCGTGGCCATTGCAAGAGATTGTTGCTATTGCGAGGCTGGCAGGTTGTATCTAGGTGGGTTCCTCAGGGCTTTTTGTCGTGGTCCGTTCATGATGGAGGGAAAGCCACGGACGGCTTGCACGACAATGTGAGTCAACCCGGAAAGCTTTCATTGTCCATTGGTGATGATTCAGTAGAGATGTACCGTTGAGACACATCCATTTTGCTGTGGCGATCTAAGCTAGTAGATTAGATAGGCATCGTGTATTTTCGCGATGGCGTGGAGGACCCGGTTGGCCCGCTATAACGAGATTCCATGTAACCCCCCGTCCCCCCCCACCTGGATAGAGATAAACATGTTCAATGATCCATTCATAATAATTTGGAAAAACTTGTACAACTAAAATAGTTATAGAAAAAGTGTAGATTAATTGTTAAAGTTTATATTCTATTGGTCTAGGTATACTACCTAGGTAAGATGATTGTTTAACTTTTTATGTAGTGTGAACAGAGTACTTGTACCTAATGACCAGGTTCCAAAGTTCTTATTAAATATCACGTGTTTACGCGATAAATGGTCACCCCTCGTGAAATGCCAAACTCAAAACTGACCTCTCTCCTTCAACCCCACGACACATCAAACAAGCTGAGCAAGATGGAATCTACACTTTCCGGTCAGCCATTGACCATTGAACGACCAGAAGGTTTCAGTTGGGAGGACTGGCTGTCTAGTTCTGCAGACCGTCCTAATGAGATTGAGCCAGGCGATCCAGACCAAGAATGGAACGAGATTAAGTTGTACTTGTCACAGCGCCGATTCCAAACTGCATGCGAACAGCGAAGGGTGAATTTCCAGGAAAAGATCCACCTTATCATGGCCACGCTCCGGCGTATGGAGACGGAATTTGTGGAGGCGGAGGATGCAATTGAGGTCGAAATGGTCAACACTTTCTCATGGCACATCATGGTGCGTAAGACTAGCAAATCATCCATCTCTTACTTGTCACTAAACTTTCCGACAGAATCTTGGTATAGAGCAACTCCGTAAAAGAATCATACCTACCTATACTTTTGATAGGTTTAGGGAATTACCAATGGAATTAAGGCTTCGGATATGGTCATTTGCTTCTCGTGTCGAGGATCCACGCCTCCATATGCCCCTTAGAATACCGGAAGGTGGTGTCGATTATGGCCGATACCAGCAAAGGCATCGCGTTCCTTCCATTCTGCGCACCTGCCGGGAGTCTTGACGCGAGGCTTTAAAGGTCAACACTCTTTTCTATTCTGGGGCTAGCTTTTACGACCCTGGGTATCTTAATACCCTCTACGATACCTTCTATTTTGGTCAAACACTGCGTTGGTTTGACTACAAGATATTCGTCGATATAATGATTAAACAAAACACCACTCGAACCATGCCCTTGAGCATATTACGAAATTTGGAGCAGTTCAAATCAATACGACACATAATCATTGATCAGAGGATATTTGGGGCTTTACCACCCAAAGTATGGACGGAGTTTCCACGGTTGGAGACTCTCGCTGTTGTGTCTTACCCTCGCGGCGAAGCGTGTGAGGTGTGGGGGTTTCTTAACTCAGCCAATCCAATAGAACCCAAGTTTTTCGAGCCACCTCCCTATTCCATCAATGGACGTTGTGCAGCACAAGTGATGAAATACGCCGTTGATTGTATGGATCGGGCCCAATCGGAAGTCCCAAATTGGGTGAAGCCGAAAATCATGGTTATCCAACGAGTGTCAAACTTTGAAGAGGAAGAGGGAATGCGTGGTGCATTGGATGTGGAGGGAGATGAGATGAGTGATACATGGGAGGAGGAGGAGGAGGAGGAGGAAGAAGAAGACGACGACGAAGAAGAAGAAACAAGTGATACGTTGGAGGGTGAGGAAGAAGTGACTGGTGATACATTATTGGAGGAGGAAGAAGAAGAAGAAAGGAGTGATCTCGATGACGACGATAGAGAAATGAGGGCTACTTACAGGGCACGTCTTAAGAGGGAAATGGTTTTCAATGTGCCGATGAACGAAATCAGACGTTTCAAGCACCAATACCATCCTAGTCAACGAGTGAGCCAGCACATGGTGCTGTTGAAGGCAACACGAGCAAACGGTGTTCCAAGGAAGTCTGGGGAAGTCATTAGCGATAGCGAAACGGAAATTGACCCACCGACCGGGACTCCATGGTCTGTTGACGAGGATGAGGATAGTGAGGACGATGAGTAGTAAGTGGTGTTTTGTATCGCTTATCTTGTAGTATTAAAGATGGGATGGTGGGTGGATTAGATGATATGTTTATGGTTTCAATATAATTTGTTTACATATATCAAGTATGTGCGAAGGGGCGAACCCTTAGGATACGAGGGTTTATTGTTATGATCAATCTCTTATACACATAGCTGTTAACAAACTAAAGATCTTGTTTTTCTAAATTACCGATTCACACTTTGTTCAGTGCTAGCTCTGATACTTTGAGACAAGTAATCAGATTATAAAGTAGTCTTAGGTAAGGTTTAAGGATTTTGCAGTGGGTATTCTGTTGTTGAAAGATGTTGCTGGTCATCAATTAAGGAGTTCAGCTACTGTATTCACTTGACAAACGTCCCTGCAAGGCTCATAGTCAGCTATTGTCTCCTTTGTGTTATGTGAATGCGCTCATAGGCCAAGGGGGTCCGATTATTATCCGATATTGGTAACTCCTTATGCCGACCACCACCAGGTTAGCGTTCGTTGTACCACTACGAATCTGGACCGACCAACTTACAAGCAACACCAACGACCAAAACATCAAGCCTTTCTCTGCCATCTTCTCTTATCGCCTGGTGCAGAAGTTTGATAATGGCTTCACCCACCTCAACATGCGCTGAAGGTTGCGATGCGCCTGAAACCTCTGCGACATGTGGAGAGAAGGATCGCACGAACGAAAATTATCGGTCTTTGACTATAGATGAGGACATGGAGATTCGCTTGTATTGTTGTGGTGTCCTTGACAGAACTCATGCGGAGTATGTGAATCTTGAGGAGTTGAGAGCCATGTCCATCCGACAAGCACACCAGACTGACATTGAGTTGTTTCGTCTTAAAATCAGCCCTTCCAATTGGCTAATCGATTCCCCCCAAATGTTGGCGTGGAAAAACACTCATGATGCACATTACCAAATAAGAGAAAATTACGATAGAGTGGCAGCAGTTCGCATTGAAGAATTGAGAAATGCTTTCCAGCAGCAGCTCTTGGTAAGTTCACCTGTTCAATAAACGTGCTTGAGCTGACAGTTGCCAGCATCAAGGAATAAAGAAGACTCGAGATGCGACCGTTCCAGCATATACATTCGTCAAGTTCCTTGAGCTACCTGTTGAACTACGGCATATGATATGGGTATTTGGAACTGGCCACAGAAATCCTAGGGAACGCGATTTAGAATACACACGCGCGAAACTCCCATTTTTGAATCAAAGCGTAGTGTTTCCCAGCCCAGAGAGCGACATTTTTCCTCTCCATTATCAAGGCCGTGAACAGTACGCTTCTTCTCCTTCTCCATTACGCGAATCTCCGCCATCTCTTCTTCATACTTGCAGAGAATCTCGAGCGGTAGCCCAGAAAATATTCTTTGCGCTACCCTGCAATCTGTTGTATGGAGGATTCTCCAGCCAGCTGTACTTTAATAGCCTCTTCGACAACTTTTACATGGAAGGTACCTGGGCTTCTCATGATGTGATTTTGATCTGTCTTTTGGCAAAGTTTGGCTCGAAAAAAGCCCCTTTGCCGGAAATGCTTCATTACATCAACTTGGCACAAGCAATCAGGAATATGACAGTCTCTATTGATATATTCGTAGATATTCCGATAAAGTACTGGGCCGAGTTTACAAGCCTCCGCACCTTGTCAATCGGAATATACCATGAGCGTAGCGATACTGAAACCCCTGACGATGTAATGTGTTTTCCCCACGAATTTTTGAACCCAATTCCGGAATCAAATGATGCCAAGCGTGCTGAATACGTACTGCGCGTTACCACGAAAGCCTTCGAATCTTATGCAAAACGAAATCCGAAGTTCAAGTCTCCAAAACTCGACGTGGTTATTCAACACAAGGAGCACCATAACAACTTCGCGATACTTCCAGAAGATGGCACCGAGCTCGAGATTGCTTCAAAATGGGACTTCGAGCACTTTCAATACATCCAATTGAGCGGCGAAAAAGAAAGCGACCACCCATGGATCGAGGACTTTCTGGGAAAAGCTTGCAGAGATACGGTTAACCGACACGAGCCAGGGGTTGCTTGTGCCTGTCTTGGTACCTTTGTAGATGAAGTAGACCTCTCTACGATGTTCGATTGGGTGGATGGTTATTAAAAGTTCTCTCTGCGATGGGTAGTCATTAGATGGGGACTGAACTGTACACATGTGGTGGGATACGCATTTTGAGACGTGGGACATGATATGCTACCTCGACCGAGAGCTTTATCTAGATCTAGACGAGATCGTCGCGCGGAGTTATTGTACTCTGCACAGTATCCTTGGTGGCTTTATTGGCACGATTTCTGTACTTGTCAGATTGGTTGTGAATTCATTGATTACTGAATTTTTCTAGTCTTTTGTCTCTATTCGCTCGCGATCTGATTCTGTGATCATGCAATTCATTGCCCCTCAAGTTCTTTATTCAGTTTTTGTTAATTCAAACCCATTCCCTCGATTAAGCTTATAGGAATTTCTCTTAACTTATACGGAAGTTATATAATACTAAATAAAGATATTTTTGTATCGAGTAAGGTTCGCTAGAAAGTAATTTACGCACCTACTATCAAAACATCTATTACGGAACAAGGACCGGGAGGAGGGACTATCTACCGACGAGAGCGGATTAAACAAAAATCGTCAATACTATTGTTGAAGGCTTAAAAACATAGCCTCTACCTCTCTTGAATTATTTCGAACCGTTGGTTTTGATTGTGTTGATAATATACATTTCTAGAAGTGATTGCTTTGATTTCATCGAGGTTGTACAGTAATGTAGGTAATACGAGTACTCGTACAAGAGGATGTACTCGAGTACGGACCTCTCCAAGCCTCTGTGGCTTACTCTTACTTGGCGCTCATCCCAGTCAACAGGGATGCTGCAATGACGCACATTTCCAAGGGTCGACCAACGACATCCACCTCGAAGAGGCTGCTGGGCTTTTCTTTCTCTCCCCACTTCATTCAGCAACAGTAATCCACCACGCGTCTCCCATCCTCTGAAATCGCTCCGCCATACTTAGCAAGCGCACCTCTTGCTCCACATCTATATCCAAGCTTTGAAACGGGCTTCTCCGATACGTGGACGTCTCAAAGAGCTTGCGTGGTCCCCTTTCAACGCCACAATACAAGGCTGAGGCGGAGTCCTCTACCCTTGCCGTGAATAACTGGAGTACATCCGGGCGCCCGAAGACGACAAGAAGACCATCTTCGAACCCTTTAAAGCTGCTTTCGAATACTTCGCAGATGGTCAATTGAAAACCTCGACTTTTCGGATTCCAAACAAGCCAAGACGAAGAGAAAATGTCGGTCCGGATACAATTTGACCACCCCCCTTCCTTTTATACGAACCTCGATTTCATCAGCGGACGAGTAATACTCAGTCTCACGAGCGACGACAATGTGCAGCAGATTGTCGCGAAATTGGAGGGCGAGAGTAGGACTCAGTTGATGCGTCCTTCGATATATCCTACCCCTCATGGACGACGAGATGCGCGCGCCTCGGTCGCGGGAGAGAACCACAAGATTCTGTATCATGTCAGTACCATATTCCCGAGTAAGGAATCTGCGGGAGAGAATATCGGGAATGCGGCATATTCGTTGAGACCGGGCACGTACGAGTACCCCTTCCGCTTCAAGATCCCTTTGAACAATGGATGTGCCGATCCTAATGCGCAGGGAATGGGTCCGGGGAGTGGGTTCGGGGGACTTGGATTGGGAGGTCTGCAGCAGATGCAGTATCGTCATGTTAAGAAGACTTTACCTCCTTCTCTCACGGGATTCCCTGGTGAAGCGGAGATCAGATATTATGTGAAAGTTACAGTTCAACGACCTTCTTTATTCAAGGAGAATAGGAGGGCGGCGATGGGGTTTAGATTCTTGCCTATTGAGTCTCCACGTCCGCCACTTACTTCCAATGAGGCATTTGCGCGACGACCTTTCGCTTTTCAACCTGGCGTGACAATCCCATCAAAAACGAGTATGTTCAAAAAAACCCCTACGAAGTTATCAGATACACCACCAACGGGAGAAGTCGACGCAAGATTACCAAGTCCGCCGATTCTCACTTGCAACGAATCTATTCCCCTTCGTGTTATCGTCAAGAGACTGACGGAGAGTCCGGAAAATATATTTCTCACTTCATTCTCGATTCATCTCTTTGGATTCACCGAAGTGCGAGCTCAAGATGTCTCGAGGATAGAAACAAGTGACTGGGTTTTGATAAGTAATATTGGGTTGTCAGTACCGATTGGAAGTCATACTGATCCCGTTGGGACGGAAAACTTGTTGGACAAGGGTTTGTGGGATAAGATTTCCCTACCTCCTACCGTGACGCCGAGTTTTCAGACTTGTAATTTGAGTAGGAGGTATGAGATTGAGGTCAGAGTGGGCTTAGGATATGGTGTCGTTGGGGAAATACAGGTGAGTTATCTTCCTATGATCTAAACATTCTCATTAGCCGAGAAACACCAACTAACCTAAAAACCTAGCCCCAATCAATAACCCTCCCCCTCCGCTTCCAAGTCGACATCTTCTCGGGCATCAAACCCCCAGCCGCCCTCCTCCACGCCATCGCCAACCAAAACAGCGTCCCTGCCCCCGCCCTCCCCGCCCGACCATCC